CCCCCAGGAGCAAAAATATGTCCAACAATAAATCAACTGGAACTGCTGGCACTGCCCCCCACCCCCCGAAAAATCTGAAGTACCCCTTCCCCGAAAATCTGAAGTGCTCCCCCCTGGGGAAAATTTCTGAAAGGAACATGCCCCTAACTAGCTGGCGCCCGGGGAATCTGCCCCCATCTGCCCCCGCTCGCTACGCCTCTGGATAGAGCTGCTTTGCGAGATCCAAAATATTTTTTTTAATGCCACTCACGAAATCTTACACCTCTAGTTTTCTCTCTTCACAATCCCCGCAGTTCAGACGAACACACGCTTGCTAGCAGTCGCAGTCCAAGGAGGTGGTGAGTGAAGTTGTTGCCAGGCGACTAGCCTAAAGATTGCTGCTGACACAGCTAGCTAGTTCACTGTGACACACAAAGCAACACTAAGACAATCACTACCATCAATAGGATACGTTGCGGTGATATTTTGATATCTTTTGAAACTCCCACCTTTCCCACCCCCCAACCCGTGTTTCTGGTATGCCACCAATCTCTTTAATCAACAACCGCCACCTCCCCTTTCAGTGCGTACATAATATAATGAAGGATGGTCCCAACTATAAAAAAATATACAAAAACCCATCGTTTTTCTGGGTCCATTCAATGCGGGGCCATAAGGGCTAAAGCTTCCACAACCGAACATTTTTACATATTTTTTTTTAAATCGGACAAAATTACGAAAAATATTTTTTCACCGGGTCTCTGAAAATCGTAGTTTTGGGGTGTCTTGGCGTACAATCGTAAAAGACATCTAAAAATCGTACATTGTACGCCAAAATCGTAAGAGTAAACAGGTCTGATACAGCTATCTTTCTTAAAAAATGGTATATCAAAATTCATTAAAATGTTAAAATCTCTTAATTAAAAAATATAATTACATTTTCGTTATATAAAATCTACAATTGAGGCATGTGGTTATCGCTCACAAAATAAACAAGGGACAAAGGCCTAAGCCATCAGGAAGTTTCTTATTTAGTTGATGTCATAACATTAGCCTATAATGGTAGGCCTACATGTAGCCTAAATAGTAGATAGTCTAAGATAGGCTAATAAAACTTATTAACCAAACTAATAACTTTGTGACTTGGCCTTTTTGGTATTCAAATTCAATTAAACAAAACGTTAAACAAGTTAAGTTCGAAAGGACTGTTTCACAAAGAGGCTTTGGGAGGGTTTAAGTTAGGGTGACCAAACGTCCCGTAAAAACAGGATTTTTTCACGATCGTACCTGTCGTCCCGGAAAAAGTCTCTCGGGACACCTAAATGTTCCGTTTTTTAAACCAAACACATTTTCAAATCACTAAAACTTCCTAATCTATAATATATCTTCAAGTAATATTTTGGCTAGCTGTGTAGCCAGTGCCAGTACAGATGTGGGCTCGCCTGATGGCTGCACTGTTCCCCCTCCACCAGTGTCCCTGCCAGAGATCTTATATGTAAATGTATAGTGAAAGACACAAGACTTGAAGGGGAGGGGGGGGGGGATGGAACTGCACACAGAAAACAATTTTGATTTCGCTACGAGTAATGTGTTAGTCTTATGTGATCCCTTCCAGCCTGTTCGTGTCAGAGTGACAGGTGTTTGTTTTGGGTGTTGAAATTTTTTCTTTAATTTTATATCATCTTCATATGTTGACAATAATTATGCCCAAACGTCAATGTAAGTTTATGGTGGAGTATTCCAAAGAGTGCAACTATATTAAAATGGGACACTATGATAGTGAAGCCGAGTGCAGTTTGCAATAATGTTACTAGTATGGTAGTCCTTGAAAGTGTCCTGTTTTTTAAAGTTCATGATTTGGTCAACCTAGTTTAGGTAGTTTTAACTTTTTAAAAAAAAACTGATATTTTCAATAAAGCTTTACTAAAGTCTAAAGGCCTAGGCCTTACACTAATAATTGAATGGTGTTTCACAGCATTTTAATTCTATTACTAGTACTAGGTTAAATTAAATAATTAAAGTGATGTGAAATAAAGTGAAGAGGTAGAAAACCACTAATGGGCCTACATCAGTACATCTAAATCAACAAACACAAAAATGTGGTGGCTACCAAAATACTACCAACCAGTTTTAGGCAGCTTGGAAACAATAGTTTCATGATTAATTTTCCTTTTTCGTGGTGTGTTCAAAACATTTCCCTCACTGTCATCCCATTCTGAAGTTACTTCTTCGGAAAGAGTTTCTGTCCTACTGTCTAATTTGGAAGTAGGCTTAACAGTCTGTGTCTCTGATAATTGATTTAAGGATGATTTTTGTTTACTGAACAAATCTGTGACTGTGACTGTTGGCTGGTGCCTTACTGATGTTTCAGTTTTATCAGCTCTAGACTTGTTATTTCTTCCTTTAGAAGCAGTGGACGGATTCTGATGTTTATCTAAAGCTATTGTTTCTGGCTTGGCCTTAAACCTAAATATATCTTCATGACTTTGATATGGTAATTCTTTAGACTTAGAATTAGTATTTTTTGTAGCTCTTTTCAATGTTGAATCTCGTAGACAGGTTGTCGTAAATTCATTCTTTTCTTTGCTTATAGTATCGCTGGTTACAGAACTATCACTAAATGATTGGGGCGATTCATTTGTATTTAAAGATAAAACAACTTTACGTCTCTTGGATGGCTGAACGCTTGAATTTCTTTTTCTTGTAGTAAAATATTCATCAACTTTAGCCTGTGCCATGTTGACAGCTCTTCCCGCCTGAGGTAATTTCAGCAATAATAACCCATTATAGTAACTTCCCTTTGTAGGCCTACTTTGTCACACAATCAATATGCTATGGGCATGGGCGGGAACTGTAGATTTTCACTTTTTATTTGACAATATTAGGTAAAAAATACAACCCCCCAAAAACAAAGTGTGTCGTATAAATCCTCTATAAAATTTAATATCGAGCAATCAATGGGGTGTAGGACTGAAAAATTGACAAAACAGGCTTACAAGTAACGCACTTTATAAAAATCCCAATTAAATCTCCAAGGCTCGCAACTGCATATTTTTTTAAAAAGGGGGTAATAAGGGGAGATACTGCAATCAGGTTAGTACAAAATAAAATGAGTAAAACAGAGTAGGGTTAAACCTGAAAAAATAAACGCAACAAAACAGCGAACGTATCGGCAGAAAGCCTTCGTCAGCGAACAAAACAACAGAAAAAACGGTATAAAAACAAAAATAAGAAATAGCACTTAGCTGGTAAGTAGTATCTGTGGGCAGCAATAGAAGTGTGACACTTCGCTGTTTTGTTGCATTTATTTTTTCAGGTTTAACCCTACTCTGTTTTACTCATTTTATTTTGCATATTTTTTTAAAGTCCCTGAACTATGTCTGACAAAACAAAATATTACACAACAAACTCGCTTGCGATATTTTTTAAAAAGAATCTTATTTAGGGCAGTTATTGGAAATTTTATAGCGTGAAATCATCATCATAATATTTCCTTTATCTTTCCCTTGAAAAACAGATTTTCGGGGGTTGCGGTTGGGGGGGGGCGGGGGTGGGGGGCGGGTGGGGGGTGGGGTTAAGAATTTGAAAGAATATGTTGCCCTCGGCAATGAGTCTGTATGCTAAGTTTCAGCTCGATATGTTGACGGAAACTGGGTCAATTAGCCGCTCGAAGATTTTGCCAGCCAGCCATGAACAAAAGCGAAGTTAATATAAAGGATTTTTTTTTATAAAACGTCGCGTTGTTCACATACATGTATAATAATGCCTGACCCACACGCAGAGGATAATGGGTCGACAGTTTACTATCCATCCCTATGTTTTTGTTTTGAGAGACCTGATCCCAGTCCCCTATAAATGCTCACTGCACTCACTTCCCGAAGAGATATGTAGCTAATGTTAGTGCCACCCGGGGTGGACGACCCATCCGCACCTCCTTCCTGCGTCACTGTTCCCAGGCTTTCCATAATTTTAAAGGGTGAAGCCTGTAAATATGATTATGGAAATAGGCATCACCAACGGCGTACCTAGTGGATGAAGTGGTAACAGCAACGATTGCTTTTTTTTGTAAATGTTTATTACCAACATTATGTCGAAAAAGTGAGGGGTGGGGGGCGCAATTTTGCTACCAAGCAAGGTCTGAAAAGCAACCTTGAAATAAGTATTCGGGATGTTGAGAGAGAAAGACTATTCGCCGTTTAAGAAATTTCATTGTTTTTAGTTCAAAATCTCTGAAAAAATGTGTGATGACAATGAATATATTTATACCACGTTATACAGAGCTGTCCATTGAAAATGATCAAATACTATACATATTTATAAGGTGGACCAAGTCTCCCCAGCCATGACCATGTCTCCCTACCCTATTACTCCACCATATGTCCAACTCTCCATCTTTAGGGAATGCATGAAAAGCATGAATAGCGGCTAAGAGTACCCGGGTCCCTTTAGATTAAATCCCATTCGGATGTCATGTGTGGTAGTTTATTTTAGTTAAACTGAAGAAGTAAGTTTACAAACATTTAGTCCATTCAATTATCTTTCATTTGATACCTCATTTTGTCTTACAAACCCAACAATAATATTTTAAATACTTTTTTAATCCCAACCTCTCATATCTGATTCCCGGATGCGAAGAGTCGCAGCCATAAATTTATTGTTCATTTTTACTATGACACCGGAAAGGGTAAGGGATGCTACTCTTATTATTGTTTTCTTTGTTTATTTCACTATCATCCAACAATGGAGGCTCCAGATGTGTATTTAGCTATCACAAATATTCCATTTCATTTCCATGCTGCTGATTTGAGATCTCATTTTTCTTCTTTAGTGGAAAATAAAGCATTTCCTTGTTTTCATTTTCGCCATAGGCCAGAAAAGACAAGTAATACGAATAGTGGTGATGATTTAAAAAATGTACCATTGAAATCTAAACGGTGCTGCATCGTAAAAATAGTTGACTCTCAATTAAATGCAATGTTACGCCACAACGATGACCACTGGACAGATGCAAATGGGGAAATTCTGAGTGAAATTTGCAAAATAACACCCCTTACTTTGAAATTAACATCAGAATCTAATTCTAACTTAGATGGGAATGTGCAAAGTCAAAGTAAGAGTAAGTTACTTTACTGGACTGTAAATTCCTTATGTAGATACTTTGTTTAAAAATAAACCAATGGCACAGTTGAATAGAGCTAATTTTTGTACAGAATTATAACAACAAAATCATATTTTTAGCTGTAGTTTTAAAGTTATGAATTTTTAAACTACGACTTGGTTTGTCCTTTTTCAACATGGACTGCATCTCCACATTCTGTGACCTATTTCCGCTGATCGCGTCATGCGCAATGACTTTATAGTTTATATAAGGCAACGTATTCCCTTATCACTAAAATACTGTTTAGGGTCGACTTAGTTTAAACTTTCAACTTTGGCACATGAATAATTAATTAAACCTTTCCCTGACCAATGGTTTAATTAATAGTTTTTGTACACGGCAAACTCTTATGAATGAAACTCTGAGATAGTACTACAATATAGCCGTTATGCAAGTGGCTGTGAATGGTTGCCAATGACAACGTGTTGCACAGGTACAATTCTGATCATTTATAATATGGACTCTACAGAGTTTTTAAAGCTCAAATTAAAACATTCCAGTTTAAATGTCTTCAAAATGCATTCTGAAACACAAAATATAAAATATTTTGATGTATATAGTGGTAATGATTAAATATTTCCTAAGTATCAGCAACTTCCGCCATTAAAAAAGGGGCGTGGCCCACCCCATGTCGAAATTAGGCTGAGCAATGTTATGTGATATGGGTCACTGGGAGAAGTGTAACGAACGTGGGACACGACCTACATCAATGAAACTTGGCATAGATATAGATCAATATCTAATGCTTATACAGATTTAATCAAAAAGGGCCTTATCTTATTATTTCACAAAAAATTTTGTATGCGAAGATGCCTTATATATACCAAAGATTTTCAAAATAAAGGTCGATTGAAAAAAGCAAAATAGCTGGCTAGAAATGTAGGCCAAGATGTCTTCCAAATTATAAGGCCGGAAATGGAACTCAAATATATGTCGAAAGAACTAATTTAATAATAAATAGACACACACATTGGAAAATTAAAAACTCAGATTTTTCGGCTCTGACGCCCATTTCCGATACACAAAAAGTAGTAGTCTCCCTTGTTTCATCGAAGTATCTATAATTGGAATTTTCTATTGCAAATACTAGTATAATTTGATACTTAAATGGCTGATATTTATACTAGGAAAATGGATTTTAACCATCAATGAAATTATTTATATATCTTTAATGACTTCCAATCATCTGTCCACAATCTCCCCTCCCCTTGCCCAGTCCACTTATCTTTCTCCAAACTCAATACTATGCCCTCCTCACATTCACAGTGACTCACAGACATCCCATCAAACTCACTATCCCTTCATTTACTGAACTATATTCCCTAGCTTTCCCAACAGTATCCCCCTTTTGAATTTCCCCTTATTTCACACCCTTAAGACTAGCCCTACTTCAGAGCAAGCTACTTAATTTTAATATCATGAAGTATGATCAAGTCATAGACTTTATTAATAATATATTTTGATTCCTGTTATTAGCTCATGATATATACGCAATATATCTATGTTGAATACAGACAAAAAACTGCAGCATTTTAAATTCTTAAATATCAAAATATTGATCTAAGATCAAGAGGCTCTAGCCCTAGCTAAAAATAAATATTGTTCAAAACTTGGCACTAGAGAAATGTCAGGATATCTTTTTAATAATTTATATTCAAATATTTTGGGGATGTGTTTTGTATAATTTGTTTACTTATCATGTGTAAAATACGTACATTTGCTTGTTAGACCATTTAGAACTTTAAAATATAATCCTTTCCAGGCCGGATGCCATAATTCCTATTTTTCCTTATATGAGCTATATAAATTAATGATCATACATAGCCTATTCCTTGGGTGGATGGATCTAGACAAAACTTAGTACACATACACTTGATTATCTAATATTCAAATTCTGAAGGGTACTGAACTCATAATATCCACTCTTTCAGGGCTGAGGGCCCCAATGTAATATTTCCTTATATAAGCTATATAAATTACAGTAGGATTAGACAATATAGGGTTCGATGAGAATCTAGTCCAAGCTTGGTAGCCATTCCCTATATTTTCCATATTCAATTATTGGTGGATTTAATAATAATATCCACTCCATTCTGTGCTGGTATAGAATTTTTCAGAAAGTTTGATAATTTAAAAAGCTAGTTTTCAGGCATTTTTGAACCGATTTTAATGAAACAACTTTTAAATTTTAACTCCATTATTTATCTGAAAGATTTTTATAGGATCCCTTATCTTGGCATAACTAAAGCTCCACCTAATGGAATGCAAGATCTCATTTTTAATTGAAATGAAAAATAGTTTTTGTTATGACATTTTGTTGTAGATTGTTCATATTTTTAAAAAAGGATTACATAGAATGGGATCTTTATGTAAGAGTAATTTTTTACAAGTTTGTTGGCGTGGGAGGTGTATTAAATTAAATCTAGAATTTTCCAGAAAGTTATTTATTGCTCCACAGGGATATATATTAGGATATAAAAGCTTATGGAAATGTTAGATTATTTCTATAGATTTTTATACCTTCCTGTGAATTATCATTCATAAGTTTCTTAAAGTTTCTAGGTTATACTAGAATGTTCAATTTTTTATATAACTGTTTTAGGATTATGTAAATGTCCTTATTATGTTTCTAATTTGCTATACATTTCAATGAGTATCCTTCAGTGTTATGGAATAAGTATTTGAGATAATTTTGAAATTTTCTAGAAATTAAATAAAATTTCCCTTATAATGGCCTAAGCTATAAACAGTAATAAAGTTAAAGGCTTTGGCTGCCTATCTTAGGGACAACTTTAAGTGTACATCATGGAACAAGATCCCTTGGGTAACAAGATCCCATGAGTGAGTGGGATCCACCTGGGAATGGGATCCTATCAGGATCCCACCATGAACCAGATTCCAGTGGGATTGGGGTCCCACCTTGGAATCCCATCAGGGAACAGGATCCCATCAGGGAATGGAATCCACTGGAGATCAAGAACCCACCTAAGAATGGGATCCCACCGGAGAATGGACTCCCTCAGGATTCCACCAGGGAATGAGATCCCAACTGGGGACAAGATTCCAAAGGGAATGGGATCCCAATTCTGGAATATGATCCCCATAGTGAATGGGATCCACTTGGAAATGGGACCACTCATTTAAATGGGAAATGGGATCTCAATGGGGAAGGGGATCTCATATTATGATATTTAAAGCGATTAACGGCCATAGCTTTGACATTGGTGAATAAATTTTGATTGGTACAACTTGTAAAAGTTATATTAGTCCTCAAATCATGGTCTTTAACTAGGCTCAGCTGGAATATTAAATGAAATAGACCAGGCCCAAAATGCTTACAAAAGATATTAGAAATGTGTTTTTTATAGGATCATCAATTTTCCAGCAAGTCTGTGACCTTTTGCATGTGCACACTAGACAATAATCCAGTCCGTAAAATCAAATTAGTTGCTTTTACCTATTGATTGAAGGCCTATTTTTGTGAAGATGAAGATATATTAAACAAAATATATTCTTTGTGCTCAGAAATTATTTCTATATTCATAGAATAGAGGAATGAAGAGAAATAATTTGCATTTATTACCTGTTCATAATTTTATTAATGGATCGTAAAAGTATTGTATCAACCATTTAATATTAAATTGATGTCATGGCGTACCCTCTAATTTAAGTCATTGAATATTAACAGCTTTAAACTTAAAACATGGGTCCTGGTGTTGAAATGAAAAAAAATATTGTTAAACTTTAGGCATTTACCTTTTTAATGTACAGTATTGGATTGATGGTTTTGAGTGTGCCTTGGAATTAAGGAATAACTCAGCAGTGAGTGCCTATTTGCTGAAAATTACCATCAACCTTACTATTAAAATTGCTAAAAGTCTAAAAAATTATCCCTGACATTTAAAAGTTACAAAAACTGATCGGTCTATTTAGGAATTAAAATGTTGATAAGAATAAGAAAAAAAAACAGTTTTAAATTATTTGATTGGACAAGAAAATTCTAAAAGCAGCAATGTGAATAAATAATAAATTACTTGTAATCATAACTTTATCATTTCAATTTTTTATTTACTATTCTTCTAGCATTGATTTTTAAGGACAGAAATTTCTAAGAAAATCAAGCATATTTTTATTGTTTCAGATAATCAAGATGAAGTTGATGAAAAGCAAATATTAGCTATGCCTGAGCTCAACCCGCCTCCACTAATGCCCAATGGGAATGTAGGAACACCTACTCTTGTTTTCTTAGATCTCATACAAAAATGCCTTCTTCCAAACAATCTCATCAGTAAATTAAAGCTAAAATTTCCCATGATGTCTGCTAAAAGGCTTTATGGAAATGTTAACTTTGAATATGATTCTGAAAATTCCCAGGAATGTGGACTGCCAGTAAATTCAAAACTGCAGATGGATAGGTCTTTACAAAAACTTGACAGAACCAAATTATTAATTCACAGACCTTCAAGAAAATTAATCACCAATAAATCTCAAAGAAATGCCCTTAAAAATGAATTAAAGCAAGCGAAAGAAACTTGCGGTTTCAATGATAATTTCAGAATGCAAGTTAATAGTAGTTTAGAAAAGGATCAGAAGGACAAAAGCTCATGTGGGTCTTCATTGCAAGTGTCACCTAGTTTCTTGATAGGTGTAAGGGACTCACCATCTAATGACTCTACTTTATGCATGTCTGACTCTCATACTGAAGAAAACAATTCTGTCAGTTCTCCATCTGAAGATACAAGGAACAAATGTTCATCATTGGTAGACAATCCACTGACTCAAAAAAAAGCTTTTTTTATTGCACCCAATCCTCAAAGTGTCATACCTCTTGGGAAATGCACTAACAGGGAAAAGAAAAGGCTTACTAAGGAGGACAGAAAGCATACACAAAGACTTATGGCTGAAGGAATAGAAGAGCGATTTATTGCTGTTGAGAAACGATATCATGTAAGTGAATGAGACTAATTTTTAATCCAATTTTTCCAAGCATGTATGAAACTGCACATATATTTGCCCCTTTTGTTTATATATCAGTTTGCTTTGTTGCCATATGGTTATAATAACTTTAAGATGATAAAAGTTTGTGAATGCAAATTTGTAACTTGCATTGTGTTGTTGTTGCTTGTCCTTCGCGTGCAAAGATGACCAAGGCTATATTCAGTAGTGAGTACACAGGTGGCTTGCCAGTCCTATGAGTGTCAGGGAAGCTTTCCCGCACGATGGACAGTGTTTTGGGGTCCTAGTTGGATTTGAGTCAATGCTGATTTTGTGGACAAGATTTGTTGTGTCTGGAGCACTTTTTCTAACTTCCTTCTCCATGTAGGTGAATAAAAAAGTGGGGGGGGGGGATGTTTGGGGGGTTGGGTTACAAATAGGTTAGCTTAGAAACCTAGAGATAATAGCCCTGACATCCTCTTTATTTTGTTTAAAGTGAACTTCCCCATGTAGGTGAATAAAAAAGTGGGGGGGGGGGGATGTTTGGGGGGTTGGGTTACAAATAGGTTAGCTTAGAAACCTAGAGATAATAGCCCTGACATCCTCTTTATTTTGTTTAAAGTGAAGGAGAGTTGGGCGATTCGTCAGCCTCAACCTCTCGACCTTGCCTATTTTGATTTATTGGCGAAACTTAGTGTTATACAAGTGCAATAAATGCTATTGAGTTAGATGTTTTTATAATTTTAAGTGCTGAGAAAAGTTTAGATGCAATTAAGGTATATTCTAAAATAAAATACAGTGAGATTTAAAAGAGAATGTTAACTGCCCCTTTGTGTGTGAATTGAATGTAAATTTTTAATCTATATACATACCCCCCCTAGCAAGTGCTTTAATGCCTACTAATGTTGACACTTAGCACAAGATTTGGAATACATTTTAAAATTTATTATAGAGTGATTCTGATGCAGAAGAGTGGGATCGTCATGAAGCAAGTGAAGATGATCCAAGTAATCAAGAACGAAACAAGGAACGTCTTTATGAAGAGGACATAGAGCAACCATGGGAAAAAGGGGGTGCTGGAGTCAATTTTTACACTGATGCCATTTACTGGCAGCAGCAAGAAGGAGGTATATTATTGTTTCATTCTGGTTAGCCATAAGGTTAGAGTTACTGGCAGCAGCAAGAGGGGGGGCATATTATTGTTTCATTCTGGTTAGCCATAAGGTTAGAGTTACTGGCAGCAGCAAGAGGGGGGGCATATTATTGTTTCATTCTGGTTATTGTTAAGGTTAGAGTTACTGGCAGCAGCAAGAAGGAGGTTTCATTCTGGATATATATTTATGACTTAAAAAAATAATTCAATCTACTTTATAACATAAATATATTTCAAAACACAAAGTTATGTATGTATGTCTGGATATAATGTCATAAGATGGCGCTGCTCATGTGCTCTGTGTGAATTGATATAACAAACCTTGGCTAGTATGGCTCCATTTTAATTGTGTAATATAAGATTTATCCTTTCAACTACATTTTATTTATGGTTCACATTCACACAAAACTAATCTTGTACCGGTACTTAATTTGATTGCATGTTTTAACAAGGAGTCTGCATTTTGATTCTTTTATCAAATGGAATTGTGCAAAAGTGAATGATTATAAGTTCTTAAAGTGAATCAAGCAAGATTTAATAACATGGATGAGGAATTGTATCTCTTTCATTTCACAAGTACTCCTCAGATAAGTTTCAAAATGTTGGCATCCCCTTAGTGACTTAGTGAATAATTTAATAACCGAACCTCTTAACAGAGTTACTAGTTAAAAATTTTGAGCATCATGGGTTTGAATGGGCAAAATAAATTTCACTATTTTATGTATGCTTATATATAATATATATACATAATATATATATATATATATATATATATATGTATATATATATATATATATATATATACACACACACAATATATATATATATATATATATATAAAAAGAGTTACTAGTTAAAAATTTTGAGCATCATGGGTTTGAATGGGCAAAATAAATTTCACTATTTTATATATGTTTATATATAATATATATATATAATATATATATATATATATATATATATATATGTATATATATATATATATATATATACACACACACATTATATATATATATAAATATATATGAAAACAATTATTGCTCATGTTACCATTAATACCTAAATAAAACCCATGAAATACATTTTTAATAAAAGGTATTCTCTGTAAAACAATGCTGTCATTGCATAACCTTCTTAAAGACACACAGACATAGTGCTCCTTAGGTTAAATGTTTTTTTGGTTATGTTTTAGACTTTGATGAGCAAACTACCGATGATTTAGATGTTGATTTTAGTGCATATGAGGAACCAGGATCAGGGGACAAAGACATCAAAGATTTCATAAAAATACAACAGGAAACAAGGTACATTTCAAACCAACTATTATAATTATATATTATAAAGCTATAGAAGCCTTTAAGACAAACTAAGTTTGAATTTTGAAGGAAAAAAAGTGAAAATATTGTTAAAAAAAAATCTTTACCAATCTTAAAATATGAAAGTTAATATTAATGTTTATAAATTTATTATTCTTGATTATAGATTTCGGAATGGTTACGACAGTACAGATAGGTTTTCTATTGGAATAGGAAGAAAATTAGATCCTCACACCTCAAAGGTCAATAAAAAGAAAGATTTTACTGAGTTTAAACCAAAAATTGGTGCATTTGAACAATATACCAAAGGCTTTGGTCGCAAAGTTATGGAATATCAAGGTTGGCAAGAAGGTCAAGGCCTTGGAAGTTCACGACCAGGTATTGTTGATGCTCTGAAGTGTGAAGGACAGAAACCATTTAATAAAAGAGGCCTTGGGTGAGTAATCTTTTTTTCTAAAGCTAGTTTTTCAGTAGTAATTCAGACACTTAATTAGTTAAATCTCATAATGTAAACAAACAAAAATAAAAATTTTGATTACTAATTTAATTACTTCCTTTGCTGTTTTTTTAGATTTAAAACTAGTGATAATTTTTGGCTTTTGATGAACGGTTCAATGATTAGAAATTGAAAATAATTTTCTATTTCATGGACGATGTGTTCAATATTATTAGAAAATAAAATTATTTATATCTTACAGATACATTGATGAAATCAAAAAGAATTATGGGGCATCTACCTCAAAAAAATCTAGAGAACCACATCACATTACCACCATCTATGACAACCCCAACATGACGGATCCTAAAATCCCTTTGCTACAACGACAAGAGTTATCAAGACTCAAGCACAGATCATCACATCTTAATAAATTTAACTCTTAACAAACTTTTTAAATCAATGTTTGCACATTTCAGTCTTCATTGTGAAAAATAGAGGAGCTTGTCATGTTGTCATTTTTATTGCTTCAGATTAATTTATATTTTTTCTTTTCTTTGCATCTTTGAATCGCTGGACCAAAGTTATTGTTAAAAATGTGTTATCAAATTTTGTAAAAAAATTGTATTTATAAATTTCTCATTCGGAATATCCTATCTCAGCCTTAAATATTATTTTTAAAATTAACCTTAAAGTAGAGAGATTTTTAATTTTGACATCTTTTCCAAGTAATTAAATTAAAATTAGTGAGCTTTAACAAAATGTGTAAATTAATGTAAAATATACCCCACTTATGCAAAATTTGAAGTTAAGAAACTCATTAATTTAAATGTTTAAATGTTTTAAATTTTTGTTATTAAAAAAAGAATGCAATCATTTAAACAAGATGCAAATTAAAATTAAGTTTTCTTTGTGAAATTAGTTATGCACATGTTGTTGTTCATCCTTGGCATATGAAGTGGTAAGTATGCAGGTGGTCGCCAGTCTTATTTGTGCCAGGAAAGCTTTCCTTGCACGTAGGACACACATTCTTTTGGGTCCTAGTTGGATTGGAGATGAATCTGAGTTTCCTTGCTGTTCAGTTTCTTTGGGCATGAGCGATGCGCTTATTCACTGAAGATTTTTCTTTGCCAGCTTGCACGATCCATAGCAAGTTTTTCCCATGAATTAAGGTCGATTTCCATGGATTTTAGTGAAGCTTTAAGGCAGTCCTTTATTTAATTCTGTTTTTACTGGTTGTTTGCTGATGTAGGCTTCCCATACTTTATTTCGCTGATTTCCATTTTTCTGACCTGATTGCAGAGTCTTCCCCTTATTACCTTTTATTTACTTTCAGCTTAGTTACAAGACTGAGACCCCTTTACTCCAAGACACTCAGAGCTTTCTGAATGCAAAATTTTGCTTTGGAAATTTGACTGTTGTTATCATCATCTATTGTTACTGACCTGGAGAGAGAGCTGCCCAAATTTGAAAAATGGGAATTTTCCCACTACTTGGAGATTCCTTTCCCTTCACTGATATGTGCAATTTTAGGTTCTTTTTATGCTTCAAGATCTATGCAACTTGCAAGGTCCAGTTTTTTTTCATATTGATGGTGAGGCCATAGTTGTCATAGGCCTTAGCAAAGATATCAAGTATTTGCTGCATTTTCAGTTCCGAGTTTGCATTTAAGAGGTCTCGAATAATAGTTTCTTTAACTTTCATAATGGCTAGTAGTCTCCTAAGATTAAATAGCCCTCCGTTTGTCCTGTATGTTATAGGAATGCCATCAATCTTGATGTCAAGAAAAGCATCAGTCAGCATTGCTAGAACGTGTTGGAGCTAGAACTCAACCTTATTTTACACCATTAGTTACAAAAAAAGCCACAGAATCCATCCAGAAGGCCATCATACCAAAAGAGCCACAGAATCCATCCAGAAGGCCATCATACCAAAAGAGCCACAGAATCCATCCAGAAGGCCATCATACCATCATGAAGATGGCATACTATTGCGCAGGGTAATTAAAAGCAAACTCTTTAATTAAGGTTAAGAAACTTATTTCTGAAATTTCATTTCAGTGGGAGACCCTACATAATTTGTGCAATAGCAATACATTTGCTGTGTCTTGAGCGTAAGTTGTTGGTATATAGACTAGAAATTAAGGGATCCTAAATCCCAGGATAGTATCCAAAAATGCAATTTTAAGATTTCCTGAATGATTAGCATTGATTTTAGCTTCAACACTTCAAGAATAAATAATGGTTTCCGGAAATACACATTTTTTTATTGTAAAAATGGATACTTATTACTGTACTGGTTTATTGTTTTATGCTATATTTTTTCCTTCAACAAGACTAACAAATTACAGTTCAGTGTAGTCTGTGTAGGGCTTTGGCCTGTCTCTATACTTCCTTCCACTCAGACCTGACTGATGCTTTTCTTTTTCCATGCTTGGATTCCCAGCTGCAGTAGATCTTTTTCCATTGTCTATTCATCTGTTAATCATAGATACTTAGCTAAGATCTGCTAGATCAAGGCGAATCCTTTGTCTTAAAGTTAAAGTTAAGACCAAAAGATAAAAAATTTCTTTTGTTCGCCAGTCCGTACGAATTTACCAGGTGCTCCCCCCGTGATTACCAAATTTAAATTATCACTTAGTAAGTCATTATTATCACTAAAGGAGTTATTTTATGGCTGATTTCTACGCTAGAGAAATTAGATGTGTTTAAATTGTTATAATTGTAAAATGTTGTCTTGGCTAAAATATGTGTTTGTTGATGGTCTGAAAAAAGAATATGTACAATGTAATCAGAAACATTTCCATTTATTTGGATCAATAAAGAATCTATCTAAATCTAGCCTAAGTCTGCGTTTGAGCCATTTTCTATTAGGTTGGCTAAGGCTCTTGCTCTAAACAGGTTTAGTACATTCCAAGACGCAATCCTAATATCCTGTCCATACCAGGCATAGGTCGATGCCTTCTTTTCTTCGGGTAAGTTTCCCTAGCCTTTGTGGATCTCTCCACTTCCTACAAAGCGGTAGGCAGTATCTCATCCCAAGTACAGAATAATTAGGTTACTTAAAATGTATTTTCATTAGATATTGTTAGAAAGTTGTAAAAATTTTGATGACAGGTAGAATTAATGTTGAAATTTAAAAAAAATGCAAGTGACAAAGTTTCAGTTGGTATGGGCTATTATGATTACTATGAATGAATAAATCTAAAACTTTCAGGCTGTAACTTGCACTAAAAATACCTCTTTGCCTTAACCTCTATGCTCTGAAGCTAGCAACTGGATTCAGACTTAGTTTATAGTTCAATAGATAACAGTTGTTACCTTTTTATTTCACTTGGTTTACATTTAAATACCAGTTTACTTTTAGATACCAATTTCACATGATTTCCAGTTATCCTAGTTTTTGGGTTGTAGAAGGACATGGGAGATAACCATATGTAAACTGGCACAATAATTACTCTGGCTGTTTGGCAGCTACAGTGGACACTGTGAAGAGAATGATTCAACAGGCGCTACCAACAGAAGTCAATTCACCTCTATCTCTGTCTTTTTGCCAATTATTTGTGAATTAATTTTTGTAAAGCTTAAGGCACCATGTCAAAACCTCAAACCACATACCATACCTCAAATGATCAACACCAGCTAATGGCAGATGCTTAATATTCCCCCCAAAGATTTAGCCATAAATATAATAATATGTCATTGTATATACTGTATATCGATACTTAAATTTCTTCAATAAAAGTTCTTTGCAGAATCAGAAACAAATTTGTATTTTTTAATTATCTTTTATTTACTTGAATGCATGGCATAGTACTTTATGTGAATAATAACATTTCTATACTCATTGTCTATAGAAGCAATCACATAACCAAGGACATATTTAAATTTATAGGCCAAAATGGAAATAATAAAAATAATTTTAAGCAAAGAAACTACTGTTTTATTGAAAGCACTATTTTTCACACAAAACCTTAAATTTGAATAGAAGGCCATCAAGTTAAAATAAAGCATACTAATCAAATTTATGTTACAAATATATTCATCTTTAACAGACTAAAAGAAAAGATTTTTTCCCATTTTACACCACAAGCATTTTAAAAAGTATTGATCTCCCTTTCAAAACAGAATGAGTTGCAACCTAAATAAATAGAAACAAAATCAACCAAAAAAATGAGAGAACTATATTTTAATGGCTGACTTCAGACTCAGCTTTACCATACTGCTTTTCCCATCTTTCAATAAATTCTTTCTTTCTGATTTCTCGAAGAGCAAAATACTCAGGGTACTGAGCTTTCTCGAAAGGATGCCATGTGTCCAAAAGCTGAGAAGAAAAAAGAGTAGATATCATTCAAACCAAGACACAATTAGTGATTGTGATTTATTATAGGCACAATAGTAAATATGCATTCATATTATGGATATTCTTTTATGATTCAAGATGAATTATAAACGTATGCTGCATTGCAATAAAGCTTAAGTAGACTAAAGTAGGTGAAGCTTTGGTTAAACAAGACAAATAAAAGTAAATAATGTTTCTGCAAATGGCCATGTCGAGTCAACAGATTAAAAGGTAATTTTTGGAGTTGGTAAGATGGCAGATATATTATTATCCAACTTGTCTAATCTAATCTAACAATAACTTGCTTTGACACTCCTACTATACACTGAAACAGTAATATTTGTAGTGTGTCAAAATTTCTGTAATTAGTTTTTCAAGATAAAACAAAAAGGTTAAAAACTACTGCTTAGACCATTTAAATATTTTCTGATTCATTAAAATTTCAACAAGCAGCTACTAAAAAAGCAGCTACTAACTACTTAGGTCAAAAATAAATAAATAAATATAATAGTTCAATTTGAACAAACCATTGAACCCACTGGTAAAGCTTAAAACTTATTTAACACTTGGATATATTTTATTTGGACAGGATGTTAGGATTGCGTCTTGGAATGTACTAAACCTGTTTAGAGCAGGAGCCTTAGCCAACCTAATAGAAAATGGCTCAAACGCAGACTTAGGCTAGATTTAGATAGATTCTTTATTGATCCAAATAAATGGAAATGTTTCTGATTACATTGTACATATTCTTTTTTCAGACCATCAACAAACACATATTTTAGCCAAGACAACATTTTACAATTATAACAATTTAAAAACATCTAATTTCTCTAGCGTAGTTGTAGGGCTGTGACTATACCCCGTGGGTATTTTTCACTCAGTTGGGAATGCATTTGAATTGAGGATATTAAACAAAACCTCAGTTTTAGGTTTCGAAACCAAGAGCAAGTAGTATTTGTATTTACTATTCACAACCCGGTTACCGATTTATTTAATCACGATTTTTAAAAATCCAAAAATTTAATTTTTTATTAAGCACAATAATAAACTAACAGTCAATGCATAAAATAGTTACTGGCATTGCGTGTCAAACAATACTTCACACTTTAACAGGGTTAGCTGAACTTGAGGTGGGACACTTCCAAAAATAGATGTTTGCCTTTTATATGAAATGCAAGATAACTTTACCGTCAGTTAACAAGTTAACGTAAGTACAGATATCATCATCACAGTAGCCATTAAATAATTATATAAAAAATTTCTGCATTTATTTTATATGTAATCCATGTGGTTCAGTTCAAGCTAAAATTAGGTTCAGCGTAAAAAAATAAAAATTTTTGAAATCAAAATTAATTTAAAATTTGGGATACCGTAATTTGGATGGTGGTATTAACAAATCTGATGTTTGGGAAACAAATAAATACCACACACTGCCCTGGGGTTAGGTGTGGCCACCGCCACACGCTGCCCTGGGGTTTGGTATGGCAAGTACCACACATGGCCCTGGGGGAAACAAATTGTAAAATCAAAAAATGTACAGGTGAAACCATGGCTATAATGATCTCTAAAAATAGATTTCTACCTCCATTTACGAGCATTACAGAAGAATTCCAAAATCTTTGCAAAAAGCAAAATCCAGTTTTAAACCAGTTTTATAAAACCCAAAATAGGTTTGTAAAAAAAAAAATCAGGTTTTAATACTCCTAATTTGAACTAGCAACACTTGATTAGGAGGTAGACAAGTTACTACTGTGCCATATACAATTGTTAAAATTATGAAATATTTTTCCAGCTTACTTACCCAATCAGGGGCAGGAGATGTCCTTTGATAAGCTACACCACCTGGAGAAAGAGGGACTGAAAAGAAAAATGTAAAAAATGTTAAAAAACTTTAATTCCAATACAACTCAATGTGCTAAATAAAACTTGGGAGTTATTTTTGTTGAGCTGTTATCCATGTCAGCGTGAGATCTTAATTAAAGAGATCTATTTTGTAGAAATCTGAAGAAAATATTTGTTGTCATCTCCATTTGTATATTTTTTTTATATAATTTAATTTATAGGATGATAATTAAAAACAATAAAGGAAGTTCACAAAAAAGAATTGTTTAAAAAATTACCACATAGTAAAATATACTAGTAATACTAGCCATGAAATTAACTTTCCATTTGAATTAAATTTGTTTTCACTTTCTATTCAAACCTCAGGCTCATAAAAAATGGTGTGTAATTATAAGTAAATTCTTACATTTAATAGGTTGTGGGTGTGACTTGAGGAAAAGCTCTTTTTGTCCATCTAAAAGTATTTTTTTAGCTTTTCTCAAATCGATTTCGTTTTTGTTTTCATCAAATCTTGCCCTCATCAAGACAGCTTGATAACGAAATTCAGGTCTGAAAAATGTTTTAAAAGAATTATTGACGTTTAAATTCAGATCTGAAAAATGTTTTAAAAGAATTATTTACGTTTTGAAAAACTGGCAAATGTTTTTCTGTGACATACATTTCGTAACTCTTGGGCCATAACTTACTTCATAAATATTATAAGCAAGCTTTCCATGTCAGCAATCCCATTATGGACAGCTTTAATCAATCAACTGTGAAACCAGTTGCTCAAAAGTTCACATGCAAGTTCACTTAACTCTTGAGGGTAAAAGTGTGGCTAGCTCTTTTTAAAGACTTCACAACAATAACAGAAAAAATGACTTACAAAGGAATAAAATGATTGTAAAAAAAGTTTGTTAGCTATTTTACTAATAAATAATTTAATATAAATACCATAAAAACTATTACATTAATATTGAAGAGAACCTATGCTAGTCTGAGTTCTGCTTCTGTTCTCTATCTTGTTTGTTTGGATGATAACACTTGCTTCCAACTGTCACTCTTATAGTGACAATCACGTAACAGACAACTCGTCGATGGTTACAGCCTTTCACTTTATTTACTACTGTGCTTCACTTTAACACATCTGGTACTCAGCTCTGACTGTAACGGCTTGTCTCTCTTTACTGTGTTCTCACAACTGTCCTGACTCCTGTCTGGCGGACTTCTACTCTAGTCCTGTCTAATGGTCCCCTTTTATAAGTCCCTGAATCATGACATCTCTAGAGATTCCTTCCCAGGGCTATCTATTTCTACATCTCCACTAGGAACTCTCTCTCTACACCCCCCCCCCCCCCCGCCCCACCACCGATCTAAATGGAAATTAACTAGCAACCCACTCTTGCACTCCAATGACTTTATTTATAACTACTATCACCATAAGGGTGGTACTAGTCTCATCCCGGTGCTATCTGACACCCCATGACAGTCTGCCCTAGCTAAATTCCCCCACTCCCCCCCACCAAAACCTTGGTTTGCCTGGAAATTACCCATTAACTAGCCACCCACCTCTACATTCCAATGTCTTGATTTATAACTACTGTCACTGTCGCCATTGTGCTAGTCTTGTCCCATTGCAATCTGATACCTGACTTCAGTTGGTCAGTCTTAGTACTGTGGGATTTCCCCCCACCCCTGTACCACCCAGGTCGACCAAACAGGTCTGGACTCTCCACAATATTGCTTCTACACTGCTACTCACTGTAACACTTGATTTAAAAAAAAAAAATATTCTAGAATGGTGTGTTGCAGATTTTAAGTGATTAGTTTAGTGAAGTAAGACTAGAGGATATCAAAGAAAAAGTTTTAAAACGGCTGGCTTAGACTGAGAGCACTCAGAGAACTGTTTTTTTTAAGTCCAGAAACAGATGGATTTTATTTCTTAAATTTAAAATTTTATTCTCATTATAATATAAATAGATTCAGTTAACTATTTTGAATTTAAACAGACTATGATTTTTCTCCCTCTCTAATTGAACAGATATATTTTGATGTAATGGTTAAAATACTTATCCAATCCCTGCTTTATAATATAGTGCAGAGGTCTGCAAACTGAGCTAAATTACCCCAAATGGGGTAAAAATAAACATCTTGGGAATGGGCTTCAATACACATAAATACAAATTAAATTAAAAACGCATCCCTTATAACAAAATAAATTTCTTCTGGCAACACTCATCCAGTGTAATAGAGAAACGAACCCAATATTTTGTGGTTACATGTCACTCAGCTATAGCAGCACATCTTATCTTGTATACATCATTTTATCTTTGTAACCTATTTTAACATATGCTCAGTGACATCACTAGGATTGGTGTAACAAAGTGCTGTAAACTTGTGGTGTAACCCGTCCAGATTTTGCCCTGGACCTCCTTCAAATCTGGTGACACCCTGCTGTGGCACCCCGTTCCTGCATTTAACTTAGATCTGTTATGAAACCGATTTATCAAGCTCTGTCAAATTTACTACTTTCCATTTGGTGTAAATCCCCCACCCCCCTTGTGAGAGTGTCGCCCAGTGTTGTCCTCACCACATGCACACTCTCATTGATGCTACCAACTGCTTTTACTAGATATGTCAGGAGCTGAATAGGCTTTCAAAATTGCACATAAGAATGCTGTCAAAATTTGCTACCTAGTGCAAAAAACTATCTTTAGTTACAAGATTTTTCACACTAAACATAAAATAAAGTAAAGAAATCAATTATTGAACCCCAAAGTCAAAGACACTTCAAAATTGCTTACCAAAATTTGATTTTATTGTAGGAAAAATCCAGCAGGATTTCTACAAAATTTGAAGTGAAATATATTTCCAAGAACTCTGTGCTCATAGGCATAACTTAATACGATTATTTGCTATTGGTTTACTTTGTTGCATTTATTTTATACTTTTTCCATCTCTGATTGTATTCTCTGTGATTCAATAACCATAATTGAATTTAAATAACAATTTTCTTCAGTTCCAATAATGTACCCAGTACTCGGTGTGTTTGTTCGCGGGGGTGCGTACATTCGACTTTGTGACTTTGTGTGTTACTGTAAGCCTAGGCCTAGGCATAATCAAATATATTTTGGGTTCATGCCTTTATAATTATTTATTACCAATGGCTAAGAAACGTTACCGTTTACCTACCCCGACTATAATAGTAATAGTGGTATAGTATAAGTGTAGAAATAGCCAAACATAGGCCAGGGCATGATTTATGGGGTAGTAATATATATTATTACTAATTATGATTAGTAGTAGTATACTACTAACTTCACTGAAGTCTTCACTACTACTACTACTAGTACTAGTTAATACTAATACTACTAACTAACTTTAATAACAACTAGTAGGCTACTAGTTGACTAGTAAGTTAAGTAAGGGCAATATACTAATTATATTAATATTAGTAATTAGTATTTTATTTTTGCCATCGCCATCATGTAATACTAGTAATGTAATATATAAATATAGTTATAGTGATAGTGTGTAATTTGTAATGAATACTTTTAATTTTAATTTTAAGTTTAATTACTATTTAATTAGCTTTTTAAAATTGTTTTAAATTTAGCCGACTTTTTAATTTTTAACAATAGGCTAGTGTTAATAAGTTTTCTTTTCGATTACCTGTCAAAGCATTCATAATAAGCTTGTATAAGTCGGATAGCTTGTTTATATAAACTCCGAACTTTTCTTGCATGAGTTGGTGCTACAGTTTGTAAGTACGACATTTTCGACCTACAGCACTACGGCGAAGGACGTACGAATCCAACCGCAAAACGGCTATTTGTGCAGTTAGGGTATGTAACTATGTTTAAGCAATGATAAATTAACCTCCGAACGCAGAGAGCTTCAATACCTAACAAATAAGGAATGTACGCAAAATTTTGTCGACACTTAAATTAATTTGTCTAACCAAACATGACCGATGTGTAAACTGTAAATTATAATTTTAGCAGGGCACTGAGAGTTAGTTACTTAAGTAAGAAATTAACTGATTGTTGGCGTAATATTAGTATCTAGCTTTAACTCAGTAAGACTGAGTAAGAAAGAAAGAGAGTACTGACATAACTGATTAATTTAAAAATAATTAAATTATGTCTGTCTTTATAACATCAATTACAATTATTAATTGTATTTATACTTTATTATTATACTTTCTACTATACTAGAAATTATATTTAACATATTGGTTAAATGAAAATTTTGACTACGAATGCCACTATTTTCTCAATGGCCGCCATCTTGGTTAACAGGTCACGTGAAGTCATCTATCCCTATGCCTAACCTGAACCCTAAATCGATCCCTATTATCGATCCCTATGCCTAACCTGAACCCTAAATCGATCCCTAAAATAATTTAGTAAAAATAAACAAAGGGAAGTCACTCCCTGGAAAATAAGTCGTGGCAATCGTAACTAGGATTAGCCAATATATTAATTATCATATCGACTATACCATAGCTTCTTTTTTTTTTCTTGTAACAAGACAAGTGATTTCAAATTATAATTATTCACCTTTATTACAGCCCCCCCCCAGTAAACTTTGTCTTTGGCTGAATGAATATATATCCAGAAAATGAATGATGCTGAAACAGAAAATAGAAACCTAAATGGAAATTCATAGAGGATCTTAGAAAATAGAAACCTGCTTGTAAATGTTATTGAGGATCTTAATAAATAATTAAATAAATAAAAGATGATAAAATGGTATTTTAAGTTAGTCAGTTCAATACAAAAGTAATACAATTTATTTTTTTTGTTAATAAACGAATCACCTTTTTTATTATTTATTGAGGTTTTATTATTCCAATTCTTTTTATCTGTTCCTACACAGTACACAACAAGCTTTTAAGGGGGTCATCCATAATGTCTAAATAAAGAATATCGATTTGGAGGGGGTAGTGGGTGGGGATTTGTTCAAATGCAGACAACTGTAGACGAGGGGGAGGCTGGTAAAGAATTTTGTGGACAAATTCTTTATCTTTTTATTTTTTTAGACAGGCATTATCCACATTGCAGTATAGACAGGTTCCAAATTTATTGATTTATATTTTCAATCTTCTTTAATATTCCTCCTTTTACTGACCAAAGATTGGAGGATTGTATATATAATAATTGCTCCTTCTCCTCATTGTGCCAATGTATATAATTATACATACATTAAAAAATTTAGCTTAAAATAGAACTTACAAACATCTTATAGCTTGACTAACATTATGATGAATTAAATTTTTCTAAAGGTGTCATGGATGCAGTGAATGAAAACAATTTAGAAGTGGTTAAGATTGTTCCGAATCCGGAAGAGTTACAAATTTCAAGCAGACTGAATCAATGCTCTGTTAAATGTCCAGAAAATGGCTGCAACTATGTGGCTGTTAATTCATCTTTGCTTGGATTGCATAAAGCTCAAGTTCACAATATTGTAAGAGTTTTTTTTATTATTTTCACTGTTATTGAAATGAATTAGATTCTTTACAAAAATGATAATTTTGCTGAAACAAGTTATAATTTAAAACTAACTTTTAGAGTTGTGATAACTTAACTGTCATACAACAATTTTTCAATGCGGCCAATTGTGACATGCTTTAATGTGAATTTATAACATAGAGTGTGATGTACACAAGTAATTTTATTATTGTTTCAATTAATGTTGTTAACAGTTTATACATATACTCATATAAAGTTACATTTTAAAAGGGTCAATTTTCCAAAGTTTTCTATGGATATTATGACTCTCCTTTGAGAAAATATTTAAATCATAAAACCGTAATTATGCAATATTTACATGAAAGTATTTTTATCAAGATAACACTGCAATTATTTTCATAAAAATCAACAGAAACACATACCAGTGTTAGGAAAAGTTTATCACTATCACTGCCCTGTAGCTGATTGCAAATTTAGCCCGCAGTCCTTAAAATACTTCAGAAGCTTGGACATAGCAAGAACTGTGAGTCTCATTTTTGTGTGTGGTTATACGTGACTTTAAACAAATATTTGTATCTCATTAACAAGAGGCTGTATTACTTTTTATGTGCGTATATCTCTGTCTTGTAGCCGATTGCAAATTTAATCCTTAAGATATTTCAAAAGCTTGGACATAGCAAGAACTGTGAGTCTGATTTTTGTCTGTGGCTATTCTTAAAAAAATAATTGGATCCCATTAACAGAAACTGCATTACTTTTTATGTCTTTTGAGTGTTTACTGTGTTTCTCCAATTGTGTGGGTGGTGTGATAGGCAGCAACAATTTTAGATCATAAATATGCACAATGTATTTTAAGTTACCGAAAGAAAATGATTAAAATTCTTTTTGCATGGATTTGATATTTAAATAGAAGGAATTGTACTAGTATTGTAATATTCATTAAAATGTATTCTTTTTTTTTTTTTTTTTTGTTTGTGATAAGTTACTTTCATTCAAAAAGAATAGTATCTGTGTATGTTGTTTAAATTTGATATTTAAATAGAAGGAATTGTACTAGTATTGTAATATTCATTAAAATGTATTCATTTTTTTTTTTTTTGTTTGTTTGTGATAAGTTACTATCATTCAAAAAGAATAGTATCTGTGTATGTTGTTTACATGATCATGATGGTCTAAATGGATGACATCATTGGGTCTAAAAATTTTAAATATTCTGAATTACCATTTGATGCAATTTACATTTTAATTTTAATCAGATATGGGTATACTGATATTGAAAAATGAGATTTTACTATTTTTATGCAATTTTCTACATCATATGATGAGAGTTCTCTTGCAAAAAACTTACTTTACCATGTAAGAAATCAATTACATCAATCGAACTCATATTTTATTAGAAGTGGGTTATCAACTTAATTTACAAGAATTAATTAAAAAAACATTAATTTTAAGTTTTATTATTTATGATAGTTCCATCATTTAATATGTTTTAATTGCTTTTGTTGTTTAGGTGTGGAGATGTATGTTTATTATGACATTTTAATAATTTATCATGAGCACAGCATTCATACAATGTATGAAAAATTTAGTGTACATAATTAAGTATGTATTATAAATACATAACTATTTTTATTTTAGCTTTAAACAATTAAAAATATTTGTAATAGCCAATTTTAAGATATTACATTTAATTCTTTTGAAATTATGCCCAAGTATTGTACATGCAGCAAACAGTTTTGTATTAAAAAGTGAAACTCATAAGGTGTTATTTTATTTATTAAAAATAATCTTAACTTAATAATGATAACCTCAGATTATATTTTTTTAAGTCAAATTTGATTATATTTAATCTGGAATCTGTTTAAATAATATTTTTAAAGTATTTTTACCCATTTATTATTACAGCACTACATGAAGATACATTCAGAGAAAAAATTCCTGTGCTCAAAATGTGAGAAACATTTTGGTTTGGAGCGAGATTGTCAGAGACATGAAAAAGAGTGTGGAGAAACATTTAACTGTCTTGACTGTGGTAAAATGTACACAAATAAAGCTGCACTGATCAGGCATTGTGACTACAATCGTCACAAAAAGCCAGATTATACGTTTAAGTAAGTCTATTTAAGTGGGGGAGGCTTTATAAAAGCACATATTACCAGAAGCTATTAAAAAAATCAGTCACAAAGAAATCTTTAACTTTAAGAGAGCCTTGCTTCCAGATGAATGAGAACTGTGCTTGACGACAAACAATCTTATGAATTCCATAGACCCAAGCACTAAATTATTTTTTTTAAAAACACCTTTTTTGAAATTTAAATAAAAATTGTCCAAACTACATCATCTTTTATTTCATCAACATAATTTTAGCTCAGCGAGGTGATTTTCAAGGATCTGACCAACATAGCTTTTGTGGTAGTTTGGGAGGAGGTTGGGTGAAGTTTAAAACATCACTGCTTTCCTACTCACAATACTATGGTCTGTATGTGAGCTATTTGTATTTTGATTGGTAGAAAATAACCATACCCCCCACCTTTTTAATAATTACCAGTATATAGAGTTTCTAAAAAGTGCACATAAGTTGGTATAAAGCAAAGATTTAGTGACAGCCCCACTAGGGTTAATAAAATAATAACACTGGTGAGTAGTGCCCTAATACAAAATGTATTAAAATATTTCTCATAGTATTCATTTTGAGTCCAAGATATGAAAGGCAGAAGATATGCAAGACAAAGACAAATTAGCTTGACTAACTGTTTTACATTTAGAGTGCCAGCCTTGAGAAATAAACCCATTTTTCAAAGTGTTAAAAAATAAAAGAAAATAAATTCAAATCAAGTTAAATTTAAATTGTTGAATCATTTACTTCTCAGGACTAAAATTGTGAAAGAGAAAATCTCCCCTAAAGATGGGAACAAAAAGAAGACACCAGCGACCCCCATGAAGACCCCAGCTTTCATTCTACCCAAGAGTGCTCTACCTGTTTTGCTGACACCGGCTCCTCTCAAACAGCAGAGCCTTGAGATTCAGACAGACAGCCTAGGAGCCCAGCTTTTCCTCACCAAATTGATGTCAGAACACTCTGTGTCCCAAGCTGTGCAGACAAGCGTCAGGGAGAATGAAACCAAGTCTGCAGCTATACAGACCAACCCTGATGGGAATCCTTACATCAGCCCAAACCCAAGCAAAATTAGCAAGCTTTCCATTGCCATGCAAACCCTGAAGACTGATGTTTCCAAAATCAATGGTAATCTTTGTGCTGCACAGACACAGACAGGTGAATTCATCCTTAAGAATGCCATGTTGGTGGCAGACATACCTGTTGTTAAAGTCTGCAAGTCAACCCAAAAATATGGTGCCCGGGCTATGAAAGGAAAAAGAAAACCCAAGGTTATTTGTAGCACTAAGTCTCACACAAGTACAGTGCTGGCTGAAACAAAAATGAATTGTAATGTGGACAGTAATTATTTCCCCAATCCTGCCCTGTTTGGGCAAATGCTTAGCACTGAAAAAGAAATGGAAATAGAGTTGGATAAATCTTTGGATGACTACATGGCCACTATGTCCACACAAACCACGTTAAGTTGTGTTTCTGAGGATTGTGTTTCCCAGTTTCGTGATTTGTTTTCTGGTGCGAGACTTCAAGACTGTCACACACAAACCCATAGAGTTGCTGGCCCTTGTCAGATTGTGCAGCCCAGCAGCGACCAGGTCAGCCAAACAAACCTCTGTGCAGTGAGCAGCGACCAGATTACGCAGACTGCCAAATCTGCTGGATCCAGTGCAAGCTATGTGTCAGGTTTTCTCCCATGTCAAGACAGCCACACTCAAACAAATACTTACCAATCAGATTTCAGCAGCATCAACAGCAGTCACACTCAAACTCTGATATCAACCCTTTTCAACGTAGCAGAAGTACAAGACCAAGGCACTACATGTGATGGACTGCTAGACTTCAGTGTTGACAACTTTTCCTCAAACACCTCCATTCAAAATGATGTTTTAGCTCACCATTTAGATACACCTAAACATAGATTTCAGTCTCCTTATTCTGAAGACAATTCTAGAATCTCTCAGAATGTTTTCATATCAAATCAAGTCAGGACATGTCAAGTTGATGCTCTGACATCAAGCCAGTCAACAGATATGTTAGAAGACTATCTGATGAATGAAATTGATATACCAACAAATTCCCACCCTACAAATGTTCAATATTCAGATCACAAGGCCATAAATCATGCTGATCAAGCAATTTGCATGGAAACTCAGACCTTTGGAAGTTTGGGAATGGATTCCATGACGCAGACAATTGATGACCTGGTCTGGGACATTGGGACGCAAACAGTTGAGGATATTGTAACTGACATGATGACTCAAACGGGAGATGATTTACTAGAATATCTGACCAATGATTCCCAAACACAAACACTAGATGACTTTTATGACCAACTGTCAGCATGGGGAGAATCTGGTGACCTATCAGACGGCAGGCAAAACACATCACTCCTCAGATTAGGCAGTAGTTCTCAAATTACAAGCTTGTTACCTGGAGACAATGCAAGTACACAAACAGCCGGGGACTTTGATAGTCAAGATCTAAGTTTTTCAAGCAACAGCTTTGTTGGACCGTGGAACAGCCCTTCAAGTAACTCAGAGGAAGAAAATCAAAACTATTCTGACTATCCAACAAAATGGGATTATGCACATGGTTCCCGTCAAGACAAAATGCATTGTGATGGTGACGTCTCAGAAAGAGCTACAAGAAACCACTTTGACAGTGTCACCTTTCCTTTAGAGTCTGCATCAGATAGGATCAATACAGCCGAGTGTTTCAAAGAAACTGAAACATCAGAAACACAAACAGTTTTTGACCCAATTTTTTCATATTTTGACACTGCAGATGTTTTGTTTCAAGCACCTAAGCCAACAAGGTATCTAGAATCTTCACACACGCAGACAGCTTTTGACCCCATGCTATCATCAGTGACATCCTATGATGGGGGTTTGGTGTATTCCAACAAAGAGACATCTGAGACGCAGACAGCGATGGAAATAGAATCGATGGTCAGCCGAGAGACGGCTCAGTGTCAGACACCATGGGAGGACACCCTGACATCAGAAACTCAAACCAATGATGCCATCTTTTTGGATTATCATTTCCCCACTAATTTTGATACAAGATGTGTATCAAGAAAAAGACCAGACCCATATCTGACAGACTCATTTACTCAGACAAACATGGATCGTAATACGCAAACAACTACTTTGGTTCAGCTCAGTGATGTTTAACAGTCTTGTTCTTGGAGTTTCCACAGTATGAAATGATTCAAGCCCATTTAATTTTGTTTCTAAAAATTCTTCACTCCAATGTCAACTGAGAATCATTGTTTGAGGGTAATTTAGGAGACATTTATTGTTTTGTGATACCAATAACTGATTAAGATCTGTTTTTTTTTACATTTGATTTGATGTTTACCATTGGATATTATGCCATAAAAATTCTTTATACTTTATGTAACTTTATAATATAAAGCACAAGGTAAGAATTTTTACAATCTCTATTTCTTTAAAGGTTTTTAAAAATATATTTTAAATTTTCTCAATATTTTAATTTTAAAATGTAAGTGACAATCAGTTTGTTAAACTAGATTGTTTAAATAAGAATCTCTTGCGAAAATGAATGGCTGACTTAGACTAGAGTTTCAGTCAACAGTTCAATGGTAAGGCTTTTTACTACCGTTAACATCACCAGCTTTCTGTGTAGCATAAAAAAATCTGATGTGCTCTTTAATTTATTTTGTTTGATTAAACAAAGATCAGCAAAACTTGCCATGATAACAGCTTGTTCACAGTACCTGTTTACCAAACCCCACCCATGCTTTCATTTTCAAGCAACTCGCTTTAATTTATTTCTTAAAAAATGTAAATAATGTATGCCCATTCTGTGTGTCGACAGATATATGTAGTATGGAGACAATCTGTTATAATTAATGAAAAACATAATTTTTTCAAAAGCTTAAAAACAAACTCATTAAGTCCTTAATTTTTTTTCCTTCTGCTGAATAAATTGTTAGGCATGACCAATCTGGAGTAAGTAAATAGGATTTAATTGTTGATGTTGCTTTTTTGTTATAACATAATATTCTTTATTGATCCAAAAAATGGAAATGTTTTTTGACTATATTTTACGGTACATATATATTGTGGGCACATAAATACATATGTTTAACTAAGTCAACATATAAAAATTTAAACACAAGACATCTTAAGTATTTCTCTAGCGTAAAAATCACACATAGATGAACTCCTTTAAATTTATTGACGATATTGACTTAATTAGTGATCATTTAGATTCGATCATCAGTGGGGGAGCATGCTGGTAAATTTGTACAGACTGGCGAACAAAATATTTAAAGATTTTTTATATTATGGTCCTAGCTTTAATTTACTTTAAGAGAAAAGATTATTCCTGATCAAACTGATCTTAGATATCTGTGATGAAGTGGTTCGGATATATCATCCAAATCTTTTTTTAGTTTTACAACATTTATCTTCAAATAGTTCTTCAAGTGAAAGATGTTTACTTAGTGTGATATTACTAGCTTTCTTGATTTTTTTCAAGTTAATATGAAGTACAGTACCCAGTAATGCCTCATGTAACTTACAGGCATTTGAAATTTTTGTTAAAGAATTCAAAACCCTTACATAATAAAAATTGTGTTTTACTGGCCACATTTTCATAATAATAATATTGAGGGTGTAATCAAGAGAGACCAAGAAAATACAAAGCATAATTCAATTAGATCAGTCACATAATTTAAAAAAAAATCATCACAGCATGGATTGCATACTCCCATTTTTCTTGGTATACCGTAAATTTATTTGAAAATAGTCTGAGTCAACAGTTTTCTAGATTTTTCGATCATATTGATAAGATAATAATTAATAATATGCTTTACTTTTAATGATCCAAATTAATTTTGTATTCATTAAATTACACATATTTTCAGTCTTGAAAATCTTTGAGCTTTTTTTGTTCTCCAAAATTGTTGATAAAGGATAAGTAAAGAGGAGAGATCTTAGTTTTCTACCAGATGTCCACAAGTAATTCAGAAAGATAAAACAGTGACATAGTTGGATGACCTGATACGCTTTGATTACCTTGCAGATACCTGTATTGTTTTTAATTTTATAGGACATATGCTTCAGTGAGAGTATTTATCTCCAAAAGATATAATCTATTACCTAATAATTTAAATATTTTAGTTATCATCTGCATTACTGTACTTGTAAACTTTGTGTTGGTAATGTAGGTAAAAAATATTCTATAACAAGTCAATTTCATAAGACATTGTGATTGTGTATTTCTTAACTTTTATATTTTAAATCTCCAATGAATAGTAATAATTACTGGTATTACTACCGGTATATATTATAAAAAGTGTATGTTAGTAAACAATGAAAAAATTGTGCTTTGCATTTTTAAAGATTTTACAATTTGCTTCAAAAGCGCTGTCATCATATCAGTTGTTTTAGAGAGCTAGTTGTCATTGCCATTTAGGAACTCAACTTTCACTGACCTAAATATCTACATTTGTGCACTCTCAGTTTTGTTTTATTTTTAACATAGTGAATCATATTGTGAATATAGTACAGGATACTTATAAATTTATTGAATCTCCTAATTTTAGTACTCTGTCATTTAAAAGAACTTGTTTATCAATATTATACATAATATCTTTACATAATATTACATTATTTAAGGTCAGCTATTGTAGTTGAACAAATTATAATCATATTTATAATCTCAACAAATAATTTGTGATATTAGTGCTCTACAAAAATATTTCTCGGTATACTGTCATTATGAAATTAGCATTAATAAAGTGTTTGAAATTACTTATTCTTGTTTGGGGCTTTTCCTTATAGAAAATTTTTATTTAAAGTATTTATTTTATGGCATTTTTTTATACCTAAAAAAAAAGTTGTAGTAAAGCCCTGTTTTAATTATTAAATTTAAAAATAATTTAAAAGAAATGATTTCTAACACATAATGCCAATCAATCTTTATTATTTATTATTCAAAGAATAAGGATTACAAAATTCCAACTAAGTTTCACACAAGTTAAATTTTTTATCATTAGCACCAACATCTACAGTGTACTTCGGCTATGAGCAACTTAATGGCTTTTACTGGAACCTAAAATATTGAACATAATAAAATTACAATTGAATCTTAAATTGAAATCTGTATTACGCCTGTAACTATAAGTGAATTTGCAAATAATTGTTTCATGTACGCTTTGAAATGAATATGCACAAGTGTCAAGTATAAATCCATTGAAATTGTCCATAACTGGCAAGTTAATCCCGGATCATAAAACGATCTTAGGTTGTTGTGTTGGAAGAAGTCCAAATCGTTTTTTAGTAATGATCCTGTGACGAGAATACTTGTCTTCTGGTGAAAATCGAGCAGGGTGAGCAGATAATGTTGGCTTTCCCTCTGGATCTGTTTTCTGTGAAATAACAATAACATTTTAAAAAATTAGCATATTGGCATAGGCCTATTATTTTTACATGACGTAAGGTTGACAACATGATTTCTTCTACTTGTGACACAATTTTTGGCAATATATTATCAAATTTTAGATCTCCTTTTTTATTCTATAATCCCTATTTAAATTCAGTGATCATCATCATATTTCAGATCCAGTGCCTATTTGGCATTTGGGCATGTGCCATTCCCCTTGCGACCACAGAAAAGAATTTGAACACTCTCCGCAGCTGTTCTGTGTTTGAATATAGTATTGAGTACCGGTGTAATAAATGTGTTGGTATAGCCTGGTGCTTTTGGTAGATAGTTTAAGATTAAGTCCTAAAGTTTAAAGTGTTGAAAAATGGAAGATATACCTTCTCAGTTGATAGATACTGCGGTAAAGCAAGGGAGACTACTTCAAAATTTGTATCGGAAATTGGCGTCGGCGCCAAAAAATCCGAGTTTTAATTTTCCGATGTGTGTGTCTATTTATTATTAAATGAGTACTTTCGACATATATTTGAGTTCAGTTTCCGGCCTTATAATTTTGTAGACATCTTGGCCTACATTTCCATTCAGCTATTTTGCTTTTACAATCGACCTTTATTTTGAAAATCTTTGGTTTATATATGGCATCTTCGCTTACACAATTTTTTGTGAAATAAAAAGAAAACGGTCTTTCATAATTAAATCGTGAAAAGCATTAGATATTGAAGTATATGTGTGCCAATTCTCATTGATGTAGGTCGTGTCCAACGTTCGCTACGCTTGTCCCCGTGACCCATATCACCATAACGTTGCTCAGCCTAATTTTGACATGGGGTAGGCCACACCCCCTTTAAAATGGCGGAAGTTGTCGATACTTAAGAAATATTTCATTATTACCACTATTTACATCAAAATATTTGATAACTTGTGTTTCAGAATGCATTTTGATGAAATTTAAACTGGAATGTTTTAATTTGAAAAAAATTTGAGCTTTAAAAACCCTGTAGAGTCCATATTATAAATGATCAGAAATGAATTTTCCGTGTGCAACACGTCATTGGCAACCATTCACAGCCACTTGCATAATTAATAATGGCTATATCATAGTACTACTATCTCAGAGTTTCATTCATAAGAGTTTGCCGTGTGCAAAAACTATTAAACCATTGGTCAGGGAAAGCTTTAATTAACTATTCATGTGCCAAAGGTTGAAAGTTTAAACTAAGTCGACCCTAAACAGTATTTTAGTGATAAAGGGATGCTTTGCCTTAAATAAACTATTTAGTCATTGCGCATGACGCGATTAGCGGTCACAAGTCAAGATGTGGAGGTTTCGTCCACTGTTGAGACCCGCTGGTCCTCACCTTTGTGAGACCCGCTGGCTCCACTCTCTCAATCGCTTCCCCACGCGTTCAGCGCTACCCCACGCGATATGACACAATTAGGCTGGGCCTTAAAATAATAAAAGTAGACTCAAATAACAATGGAAAGTAACTTATTCACTTTGGCCATGACCCAGTTTAAGCAATACACTCATTCTTGTCGAGCGTCCCAACTCTGAGTTGTCACTCTGATGACCGACGCGTAACGGAATCCGAGGCCACGCTTGTGAGTCATTTAAACACGACTCTGGGATGCCACGCTTAAATGCGGGACAAGCACGCCAAACTTAGAGTATATATTGAAAGCCCAAATCATGTATCGGCCTCTCTTACCTGAATTATGTCAGAAGAGCCTGGCTGGCATAATTAGCTGATAAAGTGTGTTTATCCGATTGTGTCGGGTTAGTATTGTTCTATTTCATATTCATATGTACTGGTATGTAGAGTCGTAGATGTAATGTTATTAAGAAAATGGTAGGACCATAGTTACTATTGTTAATGTTTGAATATGATAACTATTAATAATTTATAATGTGATGTGATTTGTAATTCTTAGCTATGTCTTATGCATTGTATTTATTATTCTCATTTCTAGCCAGTTAAGTAAAGTTAAGTAAAGTTAAGTAAAGTATAGTTACGTAAAGTGAAGTAAACTGAAGTTACGTAAAGTGAAGTAAACTGAAGTAAAGTAAAGTGAAGAAATTACATGAAATAAGTTACAGTATGTAACATTTGGCCAGTAAAGAATATTTGACCAGAAAGTATTTGTAAAGTAAATAACTGGTCAGAGGTGTTCAATAAATAATATCTGGAACTAAAGCTAGTACAGTTCAGTAAAGGAGTCGCAGTTATTAGCAGGAGATAAGCCAAAGGAATCAACAAGACGGTAGCATATACTGTGTGTGTGTTACCCACAGTAAAGTTCAAAGTCGGCACCTACCTCCTCGCAGTGCCAGTGACCGGAGACACTTACGCAGTCAAGCCGCCCAACCCCGCAGTACGTTGTGACCCGAGCAGAGGGCCGCTGTGGTGTGTGTGTGTGGGGACTTGCTTATTCGACCAGATCGCCATTGAGAGCCTACTATACAATAATATTGGGCAGTATCTTGTTATCCTGTTTATGTGTATAGTATATGTAATTTGTATGCTGATAGTTCTGTTTTCTTATAATTAAATATTTATTGTGGGCTGAACCACTCTTGTGTTATTAGTATAGTTTAAGTATTAATAGACTTGAAAGTGAGAGTTTTCCTTGAATGATAGAGTGAGTGTGAAGTAGGATTAGTGTAGAATACTTCATCAGGAAATTAATCGTACCCTAGACATAACCATACTAGCAGTACTAATCTAACGTAGAGGAAAGGGACCTTTGTTTGTTAATACAAACATTAAACATTTCAAACCCAATACTTTAACAATTGGGTCAGAACATAATTAATTTACAACACATCATAGTTTAGTTTAGCAACAATTTTTTGTAACAATTGGGGGCTCGTCTAAACAAATACGTAGATTAGTACAAGGGTGATTTGATCATATTGAATTTAACGATCTATATTATATTGATTAGATTGTATTTTAAAGATATTGCTTTAAGTTAGTTTGAATTTTTTCACTTTATTGTTACTTTAACTTTTATGTGCAAATGGTTTTAGTCAAATGAGAAAGTATTGTTATTAACTAACAGTTATCGTTTATTGTGTAAACATTCTCTCCCCATATTCCTTGTTACACATCGGAGAGAGAAGTCTCACGGTCCTGCTACAACGTACCAGTAGTACACTAACACGCTTCGACGCTATACAATAGGGCCTTTTGGGTCAGGAATCTAGGTCAACGTTGTGTCTTCCTGCTAATTGAGGTGGAACCACAGGCTGTGTGACAGGCGTCATTTGATTGTGGGTGTGTTCGGCGGAGGGTTTGAATTTTAAGTTTTCATCTTTTATCCGCTTACAGTCCACCACAACCAGTTTGGTTACATTCATTATTCGTTTATTTGTTCTTTGTTATCTCCAAGGAGGGTCGTAGCATTTTCAGTATCTTTTCCTTATTGAGAAGTTAGTTTGAATGCTCCCATTTCTAGTAGGGTCTATAGATATATATAGGTAAAATTCGTTTACCCGTAAGAGCGATAAAGTTCGCTGGGGATTTTACTCTATATAGTTCTTGCTAAGTGTTAGTCGTGGTGTCAGTTTTGTTTCAGGGAGTGTTAAGTTACGTGTCGTCTACTATCTTCTCTTCTCTTTGTGTTCTTGATATCAAAACATTTTTTTTTCAGCCTTTGTCTTGTCTTATCGTGTTTGTAGGGAATTGTCACGGGAAAGTGTTATTGTTTTGTCAAGTCTTGCGTTTTGAGTTGTTTCGTATACGTATATTGTCATAGTTTTATTTTATTTTTTGCATATCCGCCGTGTTTATTGAAACCGTATAGTCAGTTTGACTAAGACTAAGATAACGACAATGAAGTCGATCCAGGAACTTAAAGACGAAGCTACCGAGATGGGGCTAACAGGTAAAGATATAGGGCATTACGTGAGAGAGGAAAAGGCAAAACAAGAAGAGAGAGCAGATATATTGCGTCGGGAACAGGAAGAAAGGGCAGAAAAAATACGTCAGGATAAGAAAGAAATAGCACTAAGAAACTTTGAAATAAGGAAATTAGAATTACAACTAAAAGACGAAGAGAGTGAGCGACAATACAAAATCGCTTTGAGCCAGATGGGTATTAATCATGACCCAAGAGCAGATGTAAAACCACTAACAGGATTTGTAGGTCAAGTTAGCCAACCGTGTTTACCGACAGGTGCGGTCAGCTGTGACGCGTCTGGACAGAGTAAACAAACACAGTCTCTGTCCCCACCGAACTATACAGTAGCTATTGATAGTTGCGATTTCAGAAAGGAACAGTTAGCGGATCCAGAATTAAATCACCTCTGGGAAAAGGCGAAATCAAATACACAAGAAATTACAAAGTCAGGGTCTATTTCGTTTCAAGAGACCGATGGGCTCTTGTACAGGATATTTACTTATCATTCAGATCAGTCTAGAACAAACTGTAAATTAGTAGTCCCTAAATCTAAAAGGCATTTAGTATTAGAAGCAGCCCATTCCACTCCATTAGCAGGACATATGTCCCTTCGTAGAACTAGAGATAGGGTATATTCAGAATTTTTTTGGCCTCACGTAGACAAAGATATTAAAGCCTTTGTTAGATCTTGTCCTACATGCCAAAAAGCTAGACCACCAGGGACAGTTAGAAAAATAGAATTAGGAACCACAGACATTGTAGGTACTCCATTCACTAAAGTAGCTATAGATATCATAGGTCCACTACAGATGACAGATAGGAAAAATAGGTATATTTTGACATTAGTTGACACCGCCACGCGATGGCCAGAGGCAATAGCGTTGAAAAACATAACGACAGAGGACATTCAGGAAGGACTGTTCGCAATTTTTTGTAGAGTAGGTTTCCCTCACACTATACTGTCAGATAACGGTCCACAATTCCGTTCTGAAATGTATCACCAGGTATGTCAATTTTTTAACATTCGTCCAACAAAATCCTCAATATACCACCCTCAGTCAAACGGCATGGTTGAGAGATTTAATGGGACAATAAAAACTATTTTAAGGAAGTTAGCAGAAAATGAACCTCAGAATTGGGATAGATTCATATCCGCTGCACTATTTGCATATCGAGAGATTCCCAATGAAACAACCGGCATATCTCCATATGAGCTTGTTTTTGGTAGAAAAGTACGTGGCCCCATGGCCATATTGAAACAACTTTTTACGGATAAATCGGTCGATGATGATCAGAAACCAGTTTATGAGTATTTAATAGATCTTAAAAACAGATTACAGGTAGCGACAGAATCAGCATTGACACATTCCCAAATTAAGAAAACTAGTGCCAAGAAGTACTATGATAGAAATGCCAAAGAGAAAGACATTAGGGACGGTGACCATGTTTTGATTTTAAAACCAAAAAAGGGCAATAAGTTGATGCTCCAATGGGAAGGTCCATTTATAGTGGAGAAAAAGATATCAAAATTTAATGTTAGAGTTAGGAAAGGGAATACAGTTAAAACTTATCATGTCAATAGAGTATGCAAATTTCATAATAGGGAAAATATTTCACCACCCAATAATCAAGCACCTGAAACTCAAAACCATATTTTGAGCGGGTCATTAGCATCAGTCATTAATGAGACGGATGACTATGATGACAATGAAGATATTTCAGAAGAACTAGGTAGTGTGCCAACGCTGGGTTCCAGCCCAATAACAGATAACCACATTTGTTTTAATCCTGAATTAACGGATTGTCAGAGGGAACAGCTCAAATGTTTACTTCAAGAATTTGAATCAGTAATATCAGATAGCCCGGGTAAGACTAATATAGGCCATCATAGCATAGAACTAACCTCAGATAAACCTATTACTCTAAGGCCTTATGCCATCCCATACAATCTTCAAGATATTTTAGCTAAAGAAATAGAGTTAATGTTAAAATTAGACATTATAGAAGAATCAAATTCACCTTACGCTTCACCTGTAGTGTTAGTTAAAAAGAAAGATGGCACAATCAGAACTTGTGTAGACTATAGGAAGCTAAATGCAGTCACTAAGTTCGTAGCTGAGGTTGTTCCCGATCAAGAAGAATTGATGTCAAAATTACATAAGGGGAAGTATTTTACAAAGTTAGATTTAACGAAAGGATATTGGCAAATACCGTTAGACCAAAAGAGTAGAGAATTGACGGCTTTTAGGGTTCCTTCAGGTCTGTATCAATTTAAATACATGCCATTTGGTCTTGCTACAGCTCCTCTCACATTTAATAAAATAGTTAGGAAATTGTTTAAGGGTCTGCATCAAGTAATCACTTACTTTGATGATATTTGTGTTTTCTCCAGCAGTTGGGAGGAACACATAAAAGAGCTAAGGGAGGTATTTTTGCGTTTAAAAGAAGCAGGGTTTACAGTCAAACCATCTAAGTTAGAACTAGGGTTCTTCAACATCAAATTTTTAGGACACATGGTAGGGGAAGGTTCGTTACAACCAGATCCCGATAACATTGATAAGATCCTCAGGCTGCAACAGCCCAAAACAAAGAAACAGGTCAGAAGCTTAGTGGGACTAGCCTCTTACTACAGTAAATTTATTCCAGGGTTCGCGTCCTTAACTGCACCGCTCACTGACCTAACTAAAAAAGGTAAGTCCAATAAGGTAGTGTGGACTGATGAGTGTGATAAGGCATTGAAGACTATTCAAGCACTTCTGTCTAAAAACCCAATTCTTGTGTTGCCTAACACAAAGTTGCCATTTATTGTTAGTACTGACGCGTCAACAAAAGGATTAGGGGCATGCCTTATGCAAGAGAGACAAGGAATTTATCATCCTGTCAAATATATCAGTCGTAAACTGCTGGACCGTGAAACCAGATACTCTACCATTGAAAGAGAATGTTTGGCTATTGTATGGGCTGTAAGAAAATTAGCACGTTATCTCTTAGGTGCTAAGTTTACGCTTCAATGCGACCATAAATGTCTGAGCTATTTAAAAACATCAAATTTTGCTAACCCAAGAATTTGCAGATGGGCATTAGCATTGCAGGAATTTGTTTTTGACATAGATTATATTAAGGGACAAGACAATGTTGTAGCTGATTTTCTTTCACGGGTTGGGGAATAGTAATGATCATTGATATCTGTATAACTAATTTTCCATTTAAATTTCTATTTCTTCGCAGGTTCATCATGTAGTTTTAATGCAATTATTATTATGAAAATTTTGTAACTATTGATTCCATGTAAACTTGTACTTGCAATTGTGTGATTTTTATGCCATTAATGTAGTTTTGCTATGAATATTGATTACATTGTTCAATTTAAAATGTATAATATCAAGGTATTAAAGAATGTTCTGATTATGTAGTGTGTGCCAATACGGGGTATTGTCCCAAAGCGAAGAGGGGGGGGGTGTTGAGACCCGCTGGTCCTCACCTTTGTGAGACCCGCTGGCTCCACTCTCTCCATCGCTTCCCCACGCGTTCAGCGCTACCCCACGCGATATGACACAATTAGGCTGGGCCTTAAAATAATACAAGTAGACTCAAATAACAATGGAAATTAACTTATTCACTTTGGCCATGACCCAGTTTAAGCAATACACTCATTCTTATCAAGCGTCCCAACTCTGAGTTGTCACTCTGATGACCAACGCGTAACGGAATCCGAAGCCACGCTTGTGAGTCATTTAAACACGACTCTGGGATGCCACGCTTAAATGCGGGACAAGCACGCCAAACTTAGAGTATATATTGAAAGCCCAAATCATGTATCGGCCTCTCTTACCTGAATTATGTCAGAAGAGCCTGGCTGGCATAATTAGCTGATAAAGTGTGTTTATCCGATTGTGTCGGGTTAGTATTGTTCTATTTCATATTCATATGTACTGGTATGTAGAGTCGTAGATGTAATGTTATTAAGAAAATGTTAGGACTATAGTGACTATTGTTAATGTTTGAATATGATAACTATTAATAATTTATAATGTGATGTGATTTGTAATTCTTAGCTATGTCTTATGCATTGTATTTATTATTCTCATTTCTAGCCAGTTAAGTTAAGTTAAGTTAAGTAAAGTTACGTAAAGGATAGTTACGTAAAGTGAAGTAAACGGAAGTTACGTAAAGTGAAGTAAACTGAAGTAAAGTAAAGTGAAGAAATTACATGAAATAAGTTACAGTATGTAACATTTGACCAGTAAAGAATATTTGACCAGAAAGTATTTTTAAAGTAAATAACGTTTGGTCAGAGTTGTAACAGTTCAACAAATAATAACTGGAACTAAAGTTAGTACAGTTCAGTTAGAGGAAGCGCAGTGACTAGCAGGAGATAAGCCAAAGGAATCAACAAGACGGTAGCATATACTGTGTGTGTGTTACCCACAGTAAAGTTCAGAGTCGGCACCTACCTCCTCGCAGTGCCAGTGACCGGAGACACTTACGCAGTCAAGCCGCCCAACCCCGCAGTACGTTGTGACCCGAGCAGAGGGCTGCTGTGGTGTGTGTGTGTGGGACTTACTTATAAGTCGGCACCTACCTCCTCGCAGTGCCAGTGACCGGAGACACTTACGCAGTCAAGCCGCCCAACCCCGCAGTACGTTGTGACCCGAGCAGAGGGCCGCTGTGGTGTGTGTGTGTGGGGACTTGCTTATTCGACCAGATCGCCATTGAGAGCCTACTATACAATAATATTGGGCAGTATCTTGTTATCCTGTTTATGTGTATAGTATATGTAATTTGTATGCTGATAGTTCTGTTTTCTTATAATTAAATATTTATTGTGGGCTGAACCACTCTTGTGTTATTAGTATAGTTTAAGTATTAATAGACTTGAAAGTGAGAGTTTTCCTTGAATGATAGAGTGAGTGTGAAGTAGGATTAGTGTAGAATACTTCATCAGGAAATTAATCGTACCCTAGACATAACCATACTAGCAGTACTAATCTAACGTAGAGGAAAGGGACCTTTGTTTGTTAATACAAACATTAAACATTTCAAACCCAATACTTTAACAATTGGGTCAGAACATAATTAATTTACAACACATCATAGTTTTGTAACAAATAGTTTTGTAACATCCACAGTAAAAAATACCCAACAGACTCGCCACTCGCACTTTAAAAATTCGTAGAAGTTGATTCTGGTTTCATTTTTTTAATTTGAAATTTGTTCTAAATAACTGTAATATCAAAAAAATTATTTTGAATTTGAATTTTCTCAATATAGTACCTGGTACTTACATTTGAAGTCTGCAGAAGGAGCACATTTCATTAGTCATTGATTTATCTGATTTTATGTGGTTATAGTAGAATAAGTTTTGTGTGTCCTGAACACGCAGGTGAAAGGTAATCAGGTAATCTACCACTTGAGTGTCGGTTATGAAATAATATTTTTTATACGCACCTGAACTACCCTTAGGGAAAGTATTTTTTTATTAATATTAACTAGGCACTTGGATACAAAATTTAAAAAAATTCAAATAATTTTTTTAATGGCACAGTTAGTTAGAGCTAATTTCAAATAAAAAAAATGAAACCAGAATCAACTTTTTAGCTTAAGTACTTTTTGAGCTATGAATTTTTAAAGTGTGAGTTCGTTTGGTATTTTTTACTATGGACAAAACCTCCACATCTTGTGACCTCATTCCGCTGATCGCGTCATGCGCAATGACTATATACTTTATATAAGGCAACGCATCGCCTTATCACTAAAATACTGTTTAGGGTCGACTTAGTTTAAACTTTCAACTTTGGCACATGAATAATTAATTAAAGCTTTCCCTGACCAATGGTATAGTAGTTTTTGCACACGGCAAACTCTTATGAATGAAACTCTGAGGTAGTACTACGATACAGTCATTATGCAAGTGGCTGTGAATGGTTGCCAATGACAACGTGTTGCACACGGTAAATTCTGATCATTTATAATATGGATTCTACCGGGTTGTTAAAGCTCAAATTAAAACATTCCAGTTTAAATGTCTTCAAAATGCATTCTGAAACACAAGTTATCAATTATTTTGATGTAGATAGTGGTAATAAATTAATATTTCCTAAGTATCGGCAACTTCCGCCATTACAAAGGGGGCGTGGCCCACCCCATGACGAAATTAGGTTGAGCGAGCTGCATGACCTGCTGCGAACGCGCAGAAACATAGCGTCTCTCGTAAGACACTTATCGCTGTGAAAATTGGCATACATGTAGATCAATAGATTCCCCAGATGCAAAAAAAATTTGGTAGTGACAAATTTTTTCCTTCGACTTAATTTTAATGATGAAAGTTGCCTTATATTTACCAAGGATTTTCTCAAAGCTGACTGATTGTAAATGAAAAAGAAATTGATTAAAATGTAGGCCAAGATGTCTACCTAATTATAAGGCCGAAAACGGAACTCAAATACATATCGAAAGTACTAATTTAATAATAAATAGACACACACATCGGAAAATTAAAAACTCGGATTTTTTGGCGCCGATTGCGAAATCCCATACACAAAAAGTAGTAGTCTCCCTTGACTTACCGAAGTACCTAATATTAACTTAATTAAACAGTTGAAGTCAAGTTGGAGTTACTTAGTACTTATTATTATTAGTAGTCTACTATTACTAATTACTGTCAACTCTATATGTTTTTTTAACATTTTACCTTCAATGTGTACATACGTTCGCCTTCATCGCTCATGTAGTACATTAGTAACAACGACATTTTGACGTTAAACAAATAATTTTAATAAATGTCACAAGTAGTTCTGAAATTATTAGAGCACAGTTGAGTTGAACACACTTCTAAATAATGTGTAACGTATTTAGTGCGGCTTAACGGAAACGGGTATTCTAAATCATTTGAAAGTAATCGACTACTCAGAATCTGGGTAATGGTTACAAAGCATTGACACTCCCACCCCGCATCAGATAAAATAATTTAATAAAATGTAAAAATAAATAGACATTAGGAACAAATTTCGTATTCCATCTTCCATATTAAAAAAAAAATGGTATAAGAGGGAGAGACTGCAATCGGGTTAGAAAAAAAGAAATGAGGGGAAAAAAAGTATGGAACAAACAGAATTATATAAAATAAGTGTTGTTTTTTGTTTAATCTTGTTTTTCATTGTTGTTTGCACGCTGATGAAGGCTTCTTGCTGAAACGTTCACTGTTTTGTTCATCATTTTTTAAGGATTGTCCATACTTTGTTAAGGTCATTTCCATAGTTTATAATGAGCAAACAACAACACGATATTTATTTATTTTTTTAAAATGAATTTTATTGATTTTATTATCATCCTCAAAGTTTAAACATAAAATAATTATGATGTTCAAATAATTCTATGAATATTATTTTTAATTGCTATATGGAGGATGTTAATATTTTAAGTGGAAATGTTTAATTACTGCCCGTTTTTTGTTGTTGTTTTTTTTTTTTTTTTATTTTTTTTTTTTTTTTTTTTTTTTTTTTTTTTTTTTTTTTTTTTTATTTTTTTTTTTTTTTTTTTGTACACGTTATTATTTTTTACTGTAATGCTTGAAGTATCGTCCCACTATATAGTCCATTACATATAGTAGTGCCGCACATACTATTCTGAGAAATAAAATAATTTTATTAAAAAATTTGTATAATTTTGAATGAATAAATTGATTAAAGAATACTTTGAATTAAATCATTTTATTATAATTAAATTCTTTTCTCTATTTTATTTGGGTATGGTAGCACACGCACGTGTGAGGCACGTCGTGTTACTGTGACTGTAACGTGTTGTTAAGTACTTGGCAACTATGGCGGAATCGGCGGAAACCTTAAGTAAAAAGTACGATAGAAATTTTAGATTTACCTTCAAATTCCCCCCCCCCCCTTACAAATAGTTAAACTTTTGTGACTACTTTCTGTTTACATAACTTTCTTAGCCTTTTTCTTTTTAATTTTAAGTAAGAAATCTCTTGGTAGTTGGGTTACTAATAAGACTAGACTCTTGGACGACCTACTAAAACTAAACATAGTTGTCGTTCCTGCAAACTGTGTGCTAACTATTGCATCAACTTCGTTGATACTGATAGATTGGCCTACTTATTTTTAAATTAAAATAATATTTACATAGGGGGGACTTTCTAAACTCTATCAGATAAATTTAATGTAGTGCCTACTAATCATAGGTCTAGACTCTTGCACATGACTTAATAATAATAATGACTGGACTTCAATTTAAATTTAAATAATAAATTGAAAATATAAATATAGTAATTATTAGTAAGACAAGTCATTAGTCAACCAGCCCCAAGACCTACCTACTAAGTTTAAGTCTAAGTAGGGGACAGTGTACTAAGTTACTAGACACAACACTATTCAAACTATTGCTAGCTAGTAGCTAGAAACCTGCCCTATCACTATCATGCTAGCCTAAAACTAAAATAAAATATCAATGCTCATCACTGATACTCATTGATACAGTAATCATTTCACTTTTCAGCCTAGGTCACTCCTACTCCTACCTTTATGACTTTATGCCTTATGAGATGCCTTGCCTTATTCAATATTGATATCAATTTCAATTGGCCATCCAACAATTGAGTGCTGACAGGCTATTTTATTGATGAATTAGACTTAATTATTGGCACACTTATTTTGTATTTTTGTCCATTTGCTTATTTATATTAACTAACGAAGCAAACTTAATCTTAATATTTAGGCCCATCAGTGGCCTACTTTCGAGAGCAAGTCTGGCTGATTCTTTACTCTAATTGTCTAATTTCTATGATTAATGTTGTTCTTTCTCATCATCCCTGATAAGTAGTTAATTTTTCCTAACTTGAAACTTGTTCATTACTTTATTATGACTATGAGTCATAATTATTTAACTATGACTATGAAGATCTTTTCTGGTTCAAGATCTCTTCGTTTAAAAACTCAGCTTATGCCATGCATATGCTTACCTAAAAATATTCTATAAATTATGGAAAACAAGTTCTAAAACAATTTTACTTTAAAAAGCAGATACTTATTGTTTTAAAGTTCTTTTCAAATAATATAGCCATATTGCCTTCATATGACCTATTGTTGCATCACTTAAGTTTAATATAAATTCATTAGACTTTAACCTGGAATAATATTACTGATCTCTTATTTTAAGTTACATTTACATGATGTAATACTGTGGTAATAGTTTTAGTGATCCTGTAAAGTGTATTTAAAGATTTGGAAGGAAGATAATGTTCAAGGTTAAATATGTGAAAAGCTATTTAAAATAATTGGTCTGTAGAAGTTCTTGGAAATGATAAATTTTATTTGAACATATGACATATATGAATTGTCTTTGGAACTTATTATAGTTTAAGAAACATATCATGGAAAGCCAAACTGAACTAAAATTAACAAAAAAGTAAGTTAAATTTTTGTCAGGTTTTTCATTTAGTGATGATGTTATAAATTCAGTAACTGTTAATAGCAACTACCGTACAACTTTTCTTTGATCATGTACTCGGTCATACTCATAGTTAAATTTAGCCCATTATTTCAGATTAGGCGCGTTAGGAGTTAACTACCTTTTCTTTCAGTCTCAGTACACTTTGTATTATTCAGCCAAATTTTATAATGCAGTTAAGATGTTAAAGAATTCTATACAATCATGATTTACTCTTTCAACAGAATCTTGCTCTCATATGTCTTAAATACTGGTAACATAAAACTCTGACTTATTGTATAGAAAGTACACTGCATTATTCATTTTGATTATTGGTCTCGAAATGGTAGCAGCCTTCTAAATGCGCATCTCAGCTAAAGAATAATAAATCTTCAGAAGTCACGATGATCTGTTTTCTTCTTTGTTTTGGCAGGAACTGTCCAAGCCATCCTATCAAAACCAGAGAAGAACACTGACACTCGAGACTCTTAGCTTGTCATATCAGTTTGCTGTTTGGGCATCAACAGTTCTTCAAATCCTTTCCATATTCATATTTAGTCATGTTCAAGCTGTTTGGAACAATATCACGCAATCACACTGTTTTACTGTCTCAAATTAAATATTTAGCTGCACTAGCAGCACATCAAAAACAATGTCAATATTTAATGCCAATGTCTTTGTTCCATGAGACTGGAATCAATTATGCCAAATCTCGGTAAAACTTAAAAGTTTCGCAAATTTTGTTCTCTCCTAAATAAATTTTGTAATACTTATTTTAATTAGTAAGACATTGCTACATGATAGTGTAGATACATAAAATAATATGTATTTGGGTAACTATTTTGTTTCTTTTTTTTATTCATCTAGTGAGCTAAAAAGACGTTTGAAAGCTGAGAAACAAGCAAAGAAGAAAGCTGAAAAACTTGCAGCTGAACCAGCAGTAGAATCTAATTCTGCAGATTCTAACGCCAAGCCTGAAGAGGATGAAGATGTTGATCCAACTGTAAGTAATGTATCTAAATAATTTCTTTTCTCTTCACAGTCTTATGAGATGTACAATACAGATTTTAAGAAAAGTAGGAAGAAACAGTTACCTTCTAGTGAGTTTGTATTGGTGCAAGACTATTCCACTTCTTATATTTATAACATATAGTCTTGATTTGATACATTCAACTCAGATTTAGCCTCATTTTACACGTAAAGGTAATTTTTTTAAACATAGTTTCTTAAGACTTCATTTAAAATAAAAACTTTTTGTATACTATTTTAACAAAATAGGAATACTTCAACATGCGCTCATTGGCAGTGGCCAATCTGAAAGAGAGTAAGGATGAGCCACCCTACCCACACAAATATCATGTTGGAATGTCTTTGCATGAATTTATAGAAAGATTCAATCACATTGAATCTGGAGATATATTAGATGAAGAGGTGACTGTTGCAGGTAATACCACTTACATTCATTTTATTTTCAAAATTTGTCTCTTATAATTGCAACAGATCTACATTATTTGTAGAATTTTAAGGTAACTTATGATGTTTATTTTTAAAAGTAGCATATGGCCTTCGATGACTAATGTCAAGTATCTGCTAATCCAGCTGTTACTCTTTTACTTTTTGTCAATTTTTCCAGGCAGGATTCATGCCAAACGATTATCTGGTGCCAAGCTGATATTTTATGATCTCAGAGGAGAATCTGTCAAAATTCAGGTTATGGCTAATGCAAAGTAAGCATTATTGAATTTTATTTGTAATATTCTAAAAAGTTAAAAGTTAAAGCATAATAGAATCTGCAGTGGTACATAGTGTTATACCGGTACTTCATGACAATTAAACTTGTCTATCTCTATTTTTTTTCAGATATTATGAAAGTCCTGAAGCCTATGAGAAGATGATTGATAAAATAAAAAGGGGTGACATTGTGGGCATCAAAGGCAAACCAGGTGAATGTCTTGAGAGTCAGCCTAATACTATTTTAATAGGAATGCTGTACATGTGAAAGTGATTAAATTCATTGCATTACAAAAACAAAAATATAAGTCGAAGTCTAAAACATTAAATTTTGAGTCCAATAACATGAAACCACCATCAAGTTGCATCATTAACAATGCAATTTTTTAAAGTTTTACTTCACATCCTTTATGAAATTAATGTTATACCTGACTCTTTTGTGGTTCTAATAGACTTTTAAGCTAATTTATACATACTTATGTGAAATAATCAACTTCAAACATGCAAATAGGTAATTGCAGCCATTATCATCACATGCCTTGAATTAAACATAAACATTTCAATTTCATGCTTATCGACTGAAAAGAATGATTAGAATATAAGTTAAAGATTTCATTAAAGTGTAGATATTGTACTTACTGGATTTTAATAATCCTAGGAAAAACCAAAAAAGGAGAGTTGAGCATAATCCCAATTACAGTGACTTTACTTTCTCCGTGTTTGAGACAGTTACCTCATCTTTACTATGGCGTTAAAGATAAGGTCAGTGTTTGCTGAATTTAGTGTCAGATATGTAGTTTCTTCTTGTTCACAAAGAACCTTTTCTCAATAAAGTCTTGTTACCTTGTAAACATGGCACACTAGTTACTTTGCTTGCCTCTCGACCAAGAGTTAGCATGTCCAAATCTGTCTGGGGTTATCACTAGAAATGGGTAATTAACCAGGTAGAATGGTCTTATTCAATTAAGGGAGGGCGTTAACCCTGAGTAAAAAAACAAAAACTTTAACGATCAAAATTGGACAATAGCAAGCAACCTTTTCAGTGAAAAAATTTAAAATTTGTCTGTTGAGGGAAATATTCTTTGGTTTTATTAGTTAAATTACAGCAGCTGGAAAATCTGGAACATAAAAAATATTGGATTGACAATGATCCTGCAGTTAATGGTCCTTTTTTCAAATGGAGATAATATTAAAATATTTCTTTAAGAATCACTTTCTGTCTTTTTAAAAGCATGTCTTAAAGTAAAAAGATTGTTTATTGTCATAAAAAAACAATATTAGATTACAAATCTACTTGATCATTAAAATAGAAATGATCTTCAATGCTTACAGGAAACAAGATTTAGGCAAAGATACTTGGATCTAATGATAAATGAACCTGTGCGAGATATTTTTATAACAAGGGCAAAGGTCATCAACTATTTGCGCAAGTATTTTGATGAGCTAGGCTTTTTAGAGGTAAAAAGTTAATTTTTTTATTTGAAAAATAAATAAGGAGTAATAAACAAAGTAAATGTAACATTTCTGGTAAAATATAGTTTCATAAAAGATTTTTTTTAAAATGAAGTTATGTTTAGAATTGTGCTCTACTGGAGTTCCTACTGAAAGATAGAACAAAGTCTAAGTCTTTTGTTGAACTTTTCTTGTTTTAAATTGTAACTCCCAAGTTCAGTGCATGCTAAAACTTAGATATAAATTTGAAGAAATGCTTATAAAACTCGTCTCCTGTTCATTATGTACACCCTTTTTACTAGGTTGAAACTCCAATGATGAGTTTGATACCAGGAGGTGCTGTTGCCAGACCTTTCATCACTCACCATAACGACTTGCATCAAGATCTTTACATGAGGATTGCTCCCGAGTTGTATCTTAAGGTAACATTAAAATTTTAACTAAAATATTTTAATATAAGATTTTCAACATTAAAACCAGCCAAACGTTATTGTGGTAAAAACAATCATTTCCTATTTGCAGTGTGTATTCACTAAGAGACTCCTGTGTACTTACAATTTAAAAAATTTGATAAGTTTATGAAAATTTAAGTCTTCAATTTAAAGTTCTAACCTAAAAATTGAAATTTGCAAACTGAAGAATCTTATTTGTTAAAAAAGGTGAATGCACATTACCTTTAAAAAAAAGCAGGGCTAGCAAAATAACTTGACTGAGAATGACTATTAGGAACTTGGTGTATATATTAATATAGAGTTAGATAGTTGCTTCACCCTTTAGTTAATGTTTCCTAAAATTTAAAGCCAGGGAAACGTTATTCAAATATTACAAATTTTAAGTACCAAGAAAGAAATTATGAATTTAAAACTTAAAAAAGAATATTAGAACTGAATCTTTTTATTTTTTAATTATTACTTTGGAAACAACTTGTACTCTAATTATTACACCAATCTGCAATTTAAAGACAAAGAAAACTTCATGAAGAGTCATGTCACAGAAAAGAGCTGCTATGAACCACTAATAAATGGATTTAAAACACCTTTTTTTATATTTGGATGCAGATGTTGGTTGTTGGAGGCATAGACAGGGTTTATGAGATTGGCAAACAGTTTAGAAATGAAGGTATAGATTTGACTCACAACCCTGAGTTTACAACCTTGGAGTTTTACATGGCCTATGCAGACTACAATGATTTGATGACCATAGCTGAAAGTTTGTTGTCCGGTTAGTAATAACAGTTTTAAGACTTGTCTCACCTTATTCACATGCTTTCAACCCCACGGTTTTTTGTGGTCACTGGCTGAAATAGTAAACAAAAAAGAAAAATTATTTAAAAAGCATTTTCCATTTTTGGTCTGTGTCTCAGAGTTGGAATAATAGTATCCTTTCATTGAGAGGAAATTTTCACACTTCATTATTTGGGAACCAAATAGATCAGAAGTAGATAATGACATGTTTAGGTTCCATCCGTCCATCCCTGTGGCGCTACAGCCCATGTAGGGCTTTGGCCTGCCTCACTACTATCTTCTACTCAGACCTAACCAATGCTTTTTTTTTCCATGCTTGGATTCCCAGTTGTTGTAGAACTTTTTTCCACATCATCCATCCATCTAAGCCTAGGTCTGCCTTTGAGCCGTTTTCGTCTGGGATTTTGGTGATGCACCCTCTTCACTCCTCTGTCATTTGGCATTCTCTATAAGTGTCCTGCCCAGCATATCCTAACCTTTTTTATTTCTGCTACTAGTGTTGGATCCTGATAAAGACTGAACTACACACTCATGTTAAGGTTAATTAACGGAAACTTAACAGGAAATTTTATAACTGGTTAATGAATTGCAATTTTAATCACTGCATTTAATATATCAATTGACTTCTATTAATTTAAAAATCAATGTTCATTTGTTTTATTCTACTTCTACAATATTAAAAGACCCTTTAAAGTGTATCGGGATGACAGGTCATTTTTCTTTTATAAAATTATGTCGCTGGTCACTTTGGTTCTAGTTCTATACAATATGGAGTCTAAACTCAAAAAGGTTGGGAAAATGTTCTTATAACAAAATTAGTGTCAGGCAATGTCATATACATGTTTTTTTATAAACATCTGTCACCAGTAATTTTTTGCTCCATATATTCTCCTTTTCCACCCCTCCCTTCAAATGAGATTCATCATTGGTTTCCAATGGTGTAAGTTTTTTAGTTATTTAAAATATGAACTTTAAGAGGATCTTTTTCCCCTATGCAGGAATGGTGAAACAACTGAAGGGAGGATACAAAATCACCTACCATCCCGATGGACCTGATGGAGAAGGTTTTGAAATTGATTTTACACCACCTTTCAAGCGAGTTTCCATGATACCTGCATTAGAGGAGGCCATGAATGTCAAATTCCCCCCAGCAACAGAACTGCACAAAGAAGGTATTGAATCCAAAATTTAGAAAACTTGAACAATAAATTATTGTAGAATGAGTTAAGAAAAAACCCACGGTATTTGATTAATGGAGTGTTAAACTGATTTTCCAAAATTGGGGTAGTGTCCAAAATTGGTGTTGCAAAATGTCTTTGACATGAATTGGAACAAACATGTCCTCTTAATGGTATATTCATTTCAATTTTTGTTGAATAGAATTATTGTCTTTATTTACTGGTATCAAAAGTTGTATTCCTGGAGCAAGCGTTGCAAACATTAAAGAACAGCTCTAAAATAATATTTTGTCATTTTTTTAAAACAAAAATTAAAGGCCTAAATTTTTCCCCACACCATTAGCCTCACGCAAATTTCTGGATGATCTGGCTGTTAAACATGGTATAGAATGCCCTCCACCAAGAACAACAGCAAGATTGTTAGACAAGGTAAGAACTATAAGTATAATATATGGTTTCATTTTAAGTCTTAATTATTTTCCAAGAAAAAAACTTGCAACAACTTATTTTCAGTAATTTAAAAATAAATGTATGATTTATTCACTAAACTTGCTATAAAAATTTTTTATTTCAAAACTTTTTATCAGATGGTTGGTGACTTTATTGAGGATAAGATTGTCAACCCAACTTTTATCATTGATCACCCTGAAATAATGAGTCCACTGTCCAAAACGTAAGAATTTTATTCCAAACTGTTTGCCAGCAGGCATTTTTATAACTCATTTGTTATCCATCAAGTTCAAAAATATTTTAAATATGATTCCCATATTTTTTTTCCTTCCATTTTTGTCAGGCACAGATCAATTCCAGGTTTAACAGAACGTTTAGAATGTTTTGTGATGCACAAAGAGATTGTGAATGCATACACTGAGTTGAATGACCCAGTCATTCAAAGGGACAGATTTCAACAACAAGCAAAGGTTTATTTAAATCAATTCCTTTGTTTTTCCACTGATTAGAAGAATAATGTTACCACATGCCGGGCATGATGTTTCTAACTTGCTGGACTTTTGTAACTATAAGATACATAAATTTAAATTGGAGATTTGATTAATACAATATATTTTGTGATTACCAATAATTAAGTCTGATTTTCATAGATTTCATTTCATATTTTTATTTTGAAGCAAGTACTTTTAAAGAATAAGAATATAATGTTCATATGTTAACTTCAAGATTTGTGTAACAGGACAAGGCTGCTGGAGATGTTGAAGCCATGTTTGTTGATGAGAACTTCTGTGTAGCCCTGGAGTATGGTCTTCCACCTACTGCAGGATTTGGTCTGGGTATTGACAGGCTGACCATGTTTTTGACAGACCAAAATAACATCAAGGTAACACCTCTTGCTGGAGATACTGTCAGGTGCCAGTTTGGCCACGATCAGTTGTAATTAGAAATTGTTCTTCTTGAGTGGTTCTTTAAAACCTTTCAATCTTAACTACAAAGCATTAGCATGATAAAGCAATGAAGGTTATTAAACTATTCAACTGTAACAAGGATTGGCAGCGATAAAACAGAATTATGCAGCTCGTCTTTGGAGATGTGGTAAAAAGAAAAAAAACCCTGACCAACTCTAATAAGTAACATGTTGTTATAAATAACTCAGCATATCCAATACCCTGGTAATATAAATTAGGTGATGTTTTGGTTGACTAAAACTGTGTAATGTTTCTAATAAAATTATGACATATTTCACTCCACAGGAGGTGTTATTTTTCCCTGCAATGCGACCAGAGGAGAACACTCAAAAGCCTGAAGCTGCAACAGCAGCACAAAAACCATCATAGCACACTCGATTTCATCTCAAACAAGCTTTCTAAAAACCACTTTGGAAAAGAGTCTTATAACATGGAAATACTTAGCTTATTTATCGCTACCAATTTTTAAGCTTTATTTTACCAACTTATAGTTTACTAGAAGTGTTTCAATTTTCTTAATACCTGATCATTACTTGTCAAAAATCAGTTGGTCTTTGTCATCATTAGCATCCACATTGCTCAAATGGGATACTACACTGTTTGCTATGCTAAAAAACTTGTTAAAAACAAATTATTTCACTCAATGGTTAACAAATAGAAATATTAGAATGAATATTGCTTCTTTGCTATATAAATAATACAAGTGGTTGAGAGTTAGGTTGCATAAAAAATATCTAGCACATTTGGAAGCATCAGATAGGTTTATGAGAATGGTAGGTAAATTATTGATATGTATGACAATTTTTTTAATAGATTCGTGTGAGCGTACAGGCTTACATTTTATTTACTAATAATTCCTGAGGTCATTTTTTAATTTCTTTTCTAAGTAGACTTAAAAAGTATATACTTGTTAAAATTTTGTTTAGAGGTTATGCTATTAATCTGTTTTTGGCTTCTTTAGTTGTGAGGTAAATCCATGTCAAATTGCAATGCTAGTTTGTGAATTAAAAAAAACAACAATTAAATGTTATTAATGTTGAAATGAGTTGTTCTCAATTTGTTATGTAAGTGTAAGATTGGAATATTTTTCAGCATAATTAAAGTCCAGACTTTAAAATTAGTTGTTTCGTTTACAAGCCATGCATTATTGATTATTTTCTTGGTCCTCTGCTCCATTATCTTTGATTTAGTCAGTCAAATGTTTTTAAATTAAAAAATTAATTTCTAGTATCTTTAAAAAAATCAAATAAATATGAAAAATTCTTTAAAAAAGTCCACATCAATTCCCATTGCTGATTTATTGAATTGGTTGCAAATGCTTTTTAAAAAATATTTAAATTGATTAATAATTATTCAAACAAGTTTTTAAAATAAAAATTTTATTTACAAAGACTATTCAAACTGCTATCTGAAATTGAAATCAGCTGAGTGTGCTAATAATAGATTTAAAAAACTGATTTTCAAAATGAACATTTTCTTTGTTAACAATGCATATAATACTGTAACGGTATTAATATTTACCAATTATACTGAGTATGCACACAACTGATCAAGCCAGTCTAAAGAATTAATAACAAACTAGGGCTTGGTCTCTCTGTGGAAGTTAGTGGTGCACTCAACAGAACTAGAAGTCATTTTACTAGTCGAGGCCAAGGACCAAGAATAATGAAAATCGTGAAAGCTAGCTCTCAGTATCCACTTATAGTCATGTACGGTACTTTTGCCAGTACTAATTATAGTTAAAGCTGACTTCAGCAAATTTCAAATGAGTTGGTTTCAAAATAATAATTATATTACTATCACTATCAACACATCTTAATCCATTGCTGGCGCTACATTTACATGTCAACTTTTCACAAGCAAACACCAGCTTTGGTAAATTTTTATTGACATTAAAATTAACAGGTTCTATGAAGCAGCTCAGGTGATGCCTGAGTTTCTTTCTCTTAGCAGCTCTTTGTACCTGCTATAATAAAAAGTCTATAATATTTCTTATATTGGACAGATTTTATTTTACAGAAGACATTAAGTTAAAGTGACTAAAACTCTTTTTTTTTTAAGCAAGATTCAAATACCTAATAAAACAAATGAAACAACTCCACTATAAATTACGATAAAATAATCTCTTAACTATTTATTTCCAAAGTTGCATCTAACTTATAAATGCAGAATCAAACACCATTTATATTCAGTGTTATTTATCTATTGACATTTCGGTATTAGAATTCTTAAACACTTCTATTTAAAAATTTAAAGCATTCCATTAATTCTGTCCATTGAATTTGAATGGCTTTAAAATTGTTCCTTCAGTCCTCAACACTCATTTAATCCAATACTTTTTAACAGTTCATTCAAATAATTTGTCGGCCAGACAAATTTTAAAATTGTAAGTGAGGTACATAAAAAAGTGTTATTTCAAGGTGCATAAAAAGGTGTTATTTCAAGGTACTATCTTCATCTTCATCATTTTGGAGTGCTGGTGTGACAGAGTTGTAATGTTCCCCAAGGCGAAACACATGTCGGTGGTAACTGTAAGAAATAAATCACCTTCATGTTAAAATAGTCCTGCAAATATCAACACTAGTGTAAAAATCTGTTCCAACAAGCTTACACTATTTTACCTATCTGATAAACTATAGGATTTTAAATAAATCACCTTTGAATTAAACTTGAAATATATATATAAAAAATTAATTTCAGAAGTGTCCAAATGTCATAACAGTTGCTAGTAACAGTTGCATAGAGAAGCCTTTAATTTAAAAAAAAATAGATTTTACACATTAAATATAAAACACGTTCTCTAACCCTCCTAAATCCCAGGTGTAAAATAACCCCCAACCTGCCAGCTTTTTTTCAACACAAGTGGAAACATTGATGTTAAGTTTATATACCGTAGTGACAAGAAATTGATATACCAGTAATATGACCTGAACTATTCCAAGTAGTGGGTCCTTTAATACAAAATAACAGCTTGGTCATCAATTTTTTTCAAAAGATGTAACAATAATCTAAAAAACAGTGTCATAAATAACATCAAATAAGATGATGTGCTGTCAAAGCATTGTTAACCCCCGGTGGTGGAATCATGAAGGTGCTAAGGAGGTGCGGTTTGCAAGTGACTCCGGAAAATCACTTGCCGGTACTTAACAAAATGAAAAATAACTGGGGAATATTATATAATGTCCATCTTTATTTAAAAAGGAACAAAGTTATATCAGCCTTGGTAAAAATAAGGGAACAAAATCAAGACAGCAAAAGCTACTTCACCATGAAGTTACTTACACAACAGTTAATGGTTTCCCTTCTATACCTTCGCCTATAACAAGGGGTTGCATGTCAGCTTGTAGAACTTCAATTGGGACTTTCAATACTTCTGATAATGCTCTAAGCTGCAAAAGCAATTCATCGAATTCTTGGTAAAGAATAGTTGCAATGACTTTGACCAAAATTGATCTAAGCAAACACATAATATTCTTCTATTACCATGTGACTATAAAACCATGTAAATATAAAATTATCACTTTCATTTTTTGTTCAAAAAAAACACCCCAAAACTACAGACTCATTTCAGCTCAGTAAATACAACCCACAAAAAAGCATTTTCCATTTCATAAATTTTATATTTTCTTGAAATAATGATCCTACCTCTATTTGTCCTCCCCATGTTGGAGAATTCGCTGTCTTATCACAATACTTTTCAAATTCCTCTGAAACCAGACATGGAAATAATTGTAATTATTATGATAAATATTTTATCAATGCTCTTTCTTAATAAAATGTGCTCATAATTAATATTTCCAAAGAAATTATATAAAAAAACATGAAAAGATAAAGGGTTCAAAGTTAACTTTCTGCACTGCTATGTAGAACAATCAGTTGTTTTTCAAATTAAATAACTCCATTTGTTTGTTTTTTTTGGCTGGTGTGAAAATTTTGTTGTCGACCATGACATAAAAAGACCTTCCTTGCATTGAAAAGTAGTACCAGTTCTTTTGTAATAAGATCAACTTTTAATTAATTTTGATAAAATAATGCAACCTTTGAACTGACTTTGCTCACAAGAGGTTTGTTATTATATAATTATTAACAAAGATTTACTATGTGAATCTACCTGGTGTCAGCATATCCCCAGTGTCTGGGTTGGTAAGGAAAGGGAGAAAATCATCACTGTGAGACCTCATAAAATCTGCAGTCTTCAGCCTCAAATCCTCATTGGTGGACTGGAAGTAGTGGAGCACTTTACATGATAAGTAAAAATTAATAAGGATTTAAGCTATATTTTTAAAAAGAATACAAATCAGTCAGTCAGTCAGTTATGTAACTTGTATTCATCCTATATCATGGTGTGCTGACCTTGTTGGTGGTAACTCAATAATAGCACTTTGGTTTTAAATCATTTATATTAACTTCGCTTTTGTTCGTGGCTGCCTGAAACAATCGTCGGACGGCTATTTGACCGACTTCCCGTCAACCTATCAAGCTGGACCTGGCTCATAGACTCGTTGCAGATGACAACACTTTTTTTCAAATTTTCAGCCCCACACCCCAACCCCCAAAAATCAGTTTTTCCTGTTTTTCAAGGGGAAGATTATGGAAATATGATGATTTCACAAAATAAAATTCCTGATAAATGCACTAAATGAGATTCTTTAAAAAAAATGTGTATGGTGTGTAAAATTTTCTTTTGTTTGTCTGAAATAGTCGGTGAAATAAATCGGCGGTGTAATAGCGGGTGGGTCATTAGAATATTAATATAGTTAAGGGGCTTGAAAAAAAATGTGCTGTTTAGGAGGGAGGGGGCGGGGAATTCTTATAAAGTGCGTTACTTGTATGTGTGTTTCATCAAATTTTCAGGGCCCGCCCCTCCCAATAATGCTCAATATTACATTTTATAAAGGATTTATACGTACAAATTTGTTGTAGGGGTTGCTTAATTAGAGAAAATAAGTTATGTTTAGACTAACCAGAATTATACATCAACTGATATATTTGAGTTCAAGGGAAATTACATAAATATTTAGAAGGGGATTGTAAAACTTCCCTAAATTATATCAAATATTTTTAAAAGGACTGAAAGATAATTTGAAAAGGAAGTTTAGTTAGGAATTTCCTGATAATATTCTGTGGTTTTCACAAAACAGGAAGAAATAATTTTTTAAGTACCGGTAATTAATATTGGTCATGCTATTGTTTGAATACAGACTGAACGCTGGGTATTATACTTGTATTAGTACAAAGTACTGGTATATTGTGAATTTATCAGATGGTTTTCATTATTTATTATAACATTAAATATGAAACATAAATAATTCATTTTTATCTGGGTGTAAATATCAGTTGGTAGCATTTCAATAATAAGTAAGTGCTTTGTTTTATCCTTCTAGAATCTTAAACAAAAAAATGCTTTTCTTTTCCTTTTGCAATGGACAGAAAATGCTACCCATCTGACCAACAGAATGCAAGACTCATCCCATGTTCTATAAATCCCACATTTGATTTTACAAATTGCATTATCGCTTAAGGAATTTTGTATCATTTAGTTAATTTACAATATTACAAAACTTATTAGCCATGTACAGAAAGTTCCATTAACAACATTTACACGTTACCTTTATGTTTCTGTGTGACAGCTGATGACTAACAGCATTGTACAAGCTGAAGGAGAAAAATACAATTTGAGATTTATTACAATAAGATGGAGTAGACGTAAATAAATTAGTATTGCATTTAACAACACAATATCTGATTTCAAAAGAATTCTTTTTCATATTTACCGTTTAATTTAACTACTTAAATCTTGTTTCATGGAATTACTCTAATCTTGTTTCATGGAATTACTCAAATTTAGATTCATTGAATTACTCAAATTTAGTTTCATTGAATTACTCAAATCAAGTTTATGGAATTACTCAAATCTATTTTCATTGAAAAACTAAAATCTAGTTTCATGGAATAACTCAAATCTAGTTTCATTGAAAAACTGAAATCTAAAACAAAAGAGGAAATTATAACCAATTTAAATCAAATTAAATAATTTTCTATTAAAAAATTAAACGCTGCCATCTATACTTATTCCTTTTGTAAACAGGCATTTGAAAATGTGCACAATATTAAATGTTATAAATTAAGATATAAAAAAAATGTGTGCTTGTTTAAAGTTATAGTCTGAATAACTGACAAATACTTACCAATGGCCGTCTGCAGGAATCTATTGGTTTTAAAATAAAGGAAAAAAAACAACAATTAAAGAGTTAGATAGTTTATCCTCTTATACTGTATAAAAAAGGTAATACTTAAAAGGTTCATTACTTAAGCCCAATTTAATTAAGCATCAGTAGATTCTTTCCTCAGCAGCTTTAGCTCATATAGAACCAAGCTTCATCTCATATAGAACCAGGTCTCACCTCAAATAGAGCCAACCCTCGTTGCTTTAGAATAGCTTTGATTTTTGCCATCTCTTGTTGTCGAGGACCCAGCTTGTTCTCTGACTCTTGTTCCTTTATTCTCACTTCCCTCTCCTTATCTTTAGCTTGCTTCTTCTCCTGGAAAGAAAAAAATGGGTTGGGAGCGGTGGTGGTTTCAGATCCAAATATCCCACTTTAAAATTGAAAGAGAACATATTCTTAATTCAACATGTCATCTGTGGCCAAGGCAGGGTTTAATAATCATTAGTTAGTGGCATCGGAGTTAGATTGATTAGTAAAAGTGAGTGTGAAAACATAAACACAACAGTCAATTAATGGGTGGGGAGCAAAAACTAGTTGACTGTTAGTGAAAACACTGGAGCTGTGATGATGTGATCGTGCTGAAGAAGATTTGGTCGGATTATTTTGTGTCCTGTGCTTTTCTGCCAACTAAAACAGAGAGGAGAGGCCCCCTTAATGTAGTTTGTGACAAGAAAGGGACCTATACCTACCTGACCACCTCTATCTACCTTGTGACACATGGCATGCCTTAGAAAACCTGTTCTATATATCAGCTGCCCCTAACAATTGTTTTGCTAAGTCTCAAACCCCCTACATCAGCAACAATTCATTTTAAAATTTGAAAATAACACATCTAGTTCATTTAATGAATTACAAAGAGAACTTGGGTAATATGAATGGCAAAGAGAACTTAGGTAATATGAATTGCAAGAGGACTTAGGTAATAAACTTGTGACCTACTTATGTAATAAAAGAAAATGTTAATGAAGAAATTCTTAGCAATATATATAAACATTTATATCATAACTTGATGGCCAAGCTGTTATTTTAATCACTTTTCCTTGCACCCCCTGAAGTGATTACTCGCATCCACTGCCAGGACCCCAGGAAACCCTGCTTTTGGAAAAAGGCAGGAGTTATGAGTATCTGATGAAAGGTGTCCTGCCAGCCTCTAGGAGTTGGGAGTATCTGATGAAAGGTGTCCTGCCAGCCTCTAGGAGTTGGGAGTATCTGGAGAAAGGTGTCCTGCCAGCCTCCAGGAGTTGAGAGTATCTGATGAAAGGTGTCCTGCCAGCCTCTAGGAGTTGGGAGTATCTGATGAAAAGTGTCCTGCCAGCCTCTAGGAGTTGGAAGCCATGTGTCCCTATGTAAAATGGCGGCTTCTCCTGGGGTCCTAATTTCTGCAAGTTGGGGAACTCTACTAAATAGTTTTATTATTGTAAATCTATATTACTCCAGGTGTCACATAGGTCTAGATTATTCCAGCAGTCACATAGGCCTAGATTATTCCGGCAACCACATAGGCCTAGATTATTTCAGCAGTCGCATGGGCCAGCATTGACCTTGTTATTTCAAGACATATCGAGTCATCATAAGAAAATAGCTCTCAAATATTTCAATTTGTCAGCTATCCCATTTAGTTGGCGTCTCCCCCCCCCCCTTTTTTTTTCTACTTCTCTCCTTTTTCCCCATAATGTTTCAATTTAATTGCGTCTGCGTCATAAAAAAGACTAAGTAATACACAGTCTTAAACAGCGGTTCTCAACCTTCCTAATGCCGCGACCCTTTAATACAGTTCCTCATGTTGTGGTGAACCCCAACCATAAAATTATTTACGTTGCTACTTCATAAATATGTGTTTCCGATGATCTTAGTTCTTAGGCGACCCCTGTGTAAGGGTCGTGTGACCCACAGATTGAGAACCGCTGGTCTAGAAATTAGACAATGAAAGTTCCAATATATCATAATATTGAGTTGCAAAGAATAGTAAAATTAAATTATGCTTTGCATCTTTTGCGACGAAAATGCCGCGGAAACCCCTATATATATAAAGAAAAAAAGTGCCCCCTCCCCAAGGGGCGGACCGTCCCCTTCCTACGCCACTGTGTACATATTTAGGAAAGATAAGGTGGTATATGTTTAGGGGAGATAAAGTGGTATACGTTAATTGGAGACCAGGCATTGCTGACCTTACATATCATATACCAAAGGTGTCTGCCGCGCACTTTGTGAATTCGATGGCAGTGCTAGGTGCCCAACACTTGGAACGTGCCAAAATATGTAGCACGTTCTCCGCTCTTAGCAAGAGGCGCCTTCGCTGGTTAAGCCATGTAAAGAGAAGGGAGGAAGGCCGTATTCCAAAGGATCTGCTGTATGGAGAGTTGGCAGAAGAGACAAGACTTATTGGACGGCCCCGGCTGCGATTAAGGGACGTTTGCAAGAGGAGCATGAGGGAAGCCAACAAAGTTATCAACAAATGGGAGATCATTACTGAACAACGTTCCAGCTGGCGAACAGCAGTGTATGAAGTAGTCAAACAGGCAGCAAATACTCAAAACGAAGCCATTGCAGCCAAAAAGAGCATTACGGAAGCATCAAATTTAACCTGGAGTCTAGGTTTTCCAGTGAGAAGTGCAGCCGAGACTGCCATTCCAGGATCGGCCTAGTAAGCCATTTCTTGTAACATCTATAGCTTCTATGTTGCCTCCCGAAGACTGATATATAATTACTAGATATAGCCCACCAATATAATCCAGGATGACACACAGAACACAACCTATGATAACACACAGAACATAACATATAACACACAGAACACAACCTATGATAACACACAGAACATAACCTATGATAACACACATAACAAAACCTTTGATAACACACAAAACATAACACATGATTAACACACAGAACAAGATCTATGATAACACACAGAACACAACCTATGATAACACACATAACAAAACCTATGATAACACACAGAACACAACCTATGATTAACACACAGAACAAGACCTATGATAACACAAAACATAACCTATGATAACACACAGAACATAACCTATGATAACACACAGAACATAACATAACACACAGAACAAAACCCATGATAACACACAGAACATAACCTATGATAACACACAGAACATAACCTATGATAACACACAGAATATAACATATGATAACACACAGAACATAACCTATGATAACACACAGAATATAACATGATAACACACAGAACACAACCTATGATAAAACACAGAACATAATATAACACACAGAACACAACCTATGATAACACACAGAACAAAACCTATGATAACACACATAATATAACATATGATAACACACAGAATATAACATATAACACACAGAACATAACCTATGATAACACACAGAACAAAACCTATGATAACACACAGAACATAACCTATGATAACACACAGAACACAACCTATGATAACACACAGAACATAACATATAACACACAGAACACAACCTATGATAACACACAGAACATAACCTATGATAACACACATAACAAAACCTATGATAACACACAGAACATAACCTATGATTAACACACAGAACAAGATCTATGATAACACACAGAACATAACATATAACACACAGAACACAACCTATGATAACACACAGAACATAACCTATGATAACACACATAACAAAACCTATGATAACACACAGAACATAACATATGATTAACACACAGAACAAGATCTATGATAACACACAGAACACAACCTATGATAACACACATAACAAAACCTATGATAACACACAAAACATAACCTATGATTAACACACAGAACAAGACCTATGATAACACACAGAACATAACCTATGATAACACACAGAACATAACCTATGATAACACACAGAACATAACCTATGATTAACACACAGAACAAGACCTATGATAACACACAGAACATAACCTATGATAACACACAGAATATAACATATAACACACAGAACAAAACCTATGATAACACAAAACATAACCTATGATAACACACAGAACATAACCCATGATAACACACAGAACATAACCTATGATAACACACAGAACATAACCTATGATAACACACAGAATATAACATATGATAACAGACAGAACATAACCTATGATAACACACAGAATATAACATGATAACACACAGAACACAACCTATGATAAAACACAGAACATAATATAACACACAGAACACAACCTATGATAACACACAGAATATAACTTATGATAACACACAGAACATAACCTATGATAACACATAAAATAACCTATGATAACACACATAAATCTACAAAATGAATGACTGTACCATCTCAGTGACACGCATTTAGCATGGGGAAATTAACGCTTTCTGATTTAAGGTTTCTTATAAACCAGTTAGACCACTTGTGGCCAAGATGACCGCTTGTGGCCAA